TTGTAATATAGTCTATAGGCTCGTAGGCGATCGAGCACCTTACGGACTATAGCCTAGTACTCCGCAATATTAGGTAAATATATATAAACTAGGATGTTATCTAGGTAAACTATATAGAGGTAATCTAATAGGCCTAATAGGGCCCGATTAATATAGGACTAGAATGTAGTAGGGGCATTAGCTAGCCTAAATAGCATAACTAAGTACTCGAAATAGCTATAGCGAGTGCGAAAGGCTATCTTCTATTTATCGCCCTTACGAATACGAATGCGATAGTACGCATCCTTAATATCTAGTGTAGTGTAGTAGTAGGCACTAGAAAGGCGGTCGAGGGTCTTATTAATAAGCGGGAGTAGATAGCGGTCTTTAATAGTAATAGCGTTAAGTCTACGGTAATTAACGTATAACCGTAGGCTACTATCCTTCTTTAGAACAAACAGGATTGGTGCACTAGCAGGGCTGTTACTATACCGAATACGGCTATTAGCTAGGTTTTCCTCTAGGTACTTACGCAACATAGTAAGCTCTCGCTTACTAAGGTTGTAGAGGGGGCTAAAAGGAACCTCCTTACCCTCTATAATATTAATCTTATAATCCGTCTCCTTAAATATAGGCAATGTCGATGCTAGGTAGTATTCAAATATATTAATATAGGTCTCTCGGATAGGCTCTAGTACACGAGCAAGCTAATTAGGATTATTAGGGGGCACAGGTTCGTCGTTATTACTACCGAGTAGGTCGGCAGTCGGATTAGCTAAGGCAGGTGTTAGGTTGCTAATAAATAGGACCCTAATATCGTTAGGGTACTCGCTAACATTAATGTGTTTAATGTCCTCTTTCCTAGCGATTCTAAATCGCTACTTCTAGAGGCCTAGGTCTGTAGCTACAGCGTAGTACTTAAGAATAGGGTTGCTAATAATAATAGTAGCTCCCCTATATAGGTTATCTATATCTACTACGTAGGCAGTAAAGTCTAGTAGGCGTTTATTTCCGAGGTCGTCCTTTAGAGCTATAGGAATATAGTAGGCCCTATAGATTAAGTGCCGAGCGTTATTAAACCAAGCAAGGGTTGGCAGGTTAGTCTTCGGCAGTTGTCGAAGGTCTAATTGCTTAGCTAGGCGATAGCTAATAAGGGCACTAACTAAATTTCCTAGATCTAGTATAACCTTAGTTTAATAGGTAGTGCCCTTCGTGTCCTATATAAGGTAGGAGCGTGTTATAGCTAGCACAATGTCGATAGTCTTACGCCGTACGAGGCTAACAGTTAGTGCGGCGCTTACTCTTTTTTCGAAGGTTAGCCTATAGGGGTAGCGTTAGCCGCTAAGAGGTGCTTTCGGTATTTAGCGGAAGTACGGTCAATTCGGGCCTAGTCCTTAGGTTTGTCGCATTAGCCTAGTAGATAGCTAGTACTATTACAATTAAAGCACTTCAACCCGGTTAGTAGACTACCGTAGCTGTTATTATTATTAGTAGAGCGGTTAGTATTATAGGGATACGAGCCCCTTCTACGGCCCCTATCGCGGCCTCCTCTATATAGCCGCCGGCTACGGCCTCTTCTACGGTTATTGTTACTGTTCCTACTGTTAGTATTGTTGTCCTAGTAGGAACCTTAGTTTCCTCCGCGGCTACGGTTGCTACGGTTAGTACTAGCTAGTCGGATCCTCGATTCTAGTCGTTATTAGAGCTAAACAGCCCGTTCGGCTGTTTCTACTTCGACTATAAATTAAATACGTATTAGATTAGCTTATTCGAATACACGGCGACGGTCTAATTCGAGGATAAGTTCCTATCTAAGCTTAGGGCGTATTTCCGAGATCTATATAGAATTAGTCTTAGGCGGAAGGTCGTCTTTAAGGGTTTTTAAATAGGCTTCAAATAAGCGAGCCGATTAATTAGTCTTCTATTTAGCTCGAAGATACAGGTCCTAAGTATATTGTTACCTTAGTATAGGGTTTCTAAGGGTATCTAGTATAATAGTTTTATAGGTCTGCTACTAAATAGTAGTCTAGTTATTAAGGGAGTCGAAATGGTTATCCTATGTGCGCTTTAGGTCGCTATTGATATACTACATAGCGTAGACAACTAATAAATAGTCGTCTAGAAGAGCCCTCGGCGTATTTCGCTAGTTAAGCTCGCAATTACGTATATAATCGTTGTATTGCTTGCGACTAGAGCCGTTAAACACGGTATAGTCCTTAAGTTTAGCATCCTTCTTTTAGATAGGTAGTAAAGAAGGTCCTGCTGTTGGCTTAGCAGTAGTTGTTAGAGATTCCTAGAGGCGACGAATCTCGAGAAGATTATCCTTTAGCTATTGTTCTTAACGCAAGGTAGTAAGCCTGTTTTAGGTAGCTTCTTAAAGTCTCGCTACTAGCTAGGGACTAAAGGCTAGTTAGCTATATCGACGGTTAACAATATTGTTAAGAATGTCGTCGACAGGCAATTCTAGGTCGTTACCTAGAATTATAGGTTCTTCTTTAATAGGTCCTATAGTAGGCTCTTCGGTAGGAGGCACTTTAGTAGCAGGCTCTTTAGCAGGTACTTTAGTAGGCACTATGCTACTAGCGTTGTCGTTGCTAGCGCTACTAGCGGCAGCACGGTTATTGTTTCGTAATAAACCGGCTATTATAAGGGGCGACACTAATAATATATTATTAGCCCCTAAGATACGGATATAGCGGAATTAGTAGATATCGGCCTAGTATACTTGACTTAGTATAATAGGCCGTATAGAAGGCCTTGCTTAATAATTAGTACGGTTGTTTCGATAGAATAGTGCGTATAGGTCCCGTTCTTCGGGCGTAATATAGTTAGATTAGTCTTGTTCGTAGCTATACCGCTAAAAGCTTGAAATAAGAACTATCTAGCTGCTGCCCTTAAAGGGTAGATCGAATACTATATAAGAAGGGTTATATTAGTAGGTAGATAGGGTGGTAGTGAATTGGTCTAGTATTCGATAGCGATCTAGGAGGAGAGGGAGGAAGGTAGGAGAGTTAGCCTAACGCCAAGCGCCAAGCCCTGCCTAAGGCACTAAGACCCTAGCTTCACTTAGCCTAGTTATATACTAATCACGTATAGCCTCTTTAGCCCTAACAGCGTTATAGATAGTAGTACTAACTGTTAGCGCTCCGGATTAGACTTGCTATACGCGTTCCGAATAGTACTTAGTATTATAAGCGTTCTAAATTAGAATTCCTATAGTTGTTTTCGATTAAAGTTGCTATAAGCGTTTTGAATTAGACTTACTATACGCCTTGTAGGCAGTACTTGCTATAAGTGTTCCGACTCGGAAAGAACTACTTGCTATAGATATTTCGAATAGTACTCGCTATAGGTATTCCGGATAGCAATTACTATAGGCGCATTCCGGCTCGCTATAGACGTTTTTTAGGGCACTCGTAGTAGGCGTTATATAGGGTACTTGCTATAGATAGTTCGAATACTATTTAGCTATAGGCGTTTTAGATAGTATTTGCTATAAGCGTTCCGGATAGTACTACTCGCTTTAGGCCTTCCGGGTAGTACCTAATATAAGTATTTAGTTTCGGATTAGACTTAGACTTACTATATATATTCCGGATAAGACTTTCTATAAGCGTTTCAAATTAGACTTGCTATACGCGTTCCGGCCTATATAGGACTAACTATACTAAGCGTTTAAAATAAGGCTTATCCTACGCGTTCCGGATAGTACTACTCGCTATAGGTATTCTATAGAGTACTCGCTATAGGCGTTTTATAAGGTACTCGTAGTAGGCGTTATATAGGGTACTTAGCGCTCGCTATAAGCAGTTCGAATACCTATAAGCGTTTCGGATTAGACTTGCTATACGCGTTCCGGTTTATATAGAACTAACTATACTAAGCGTTTAAAATAAGGCTTGTTCTACGCGTTCCGGATAGTACTACTCGCTATAGATATCTTAGATAGTTACCGCTATAGGCGTTTCGAATATTACTACTCGCTATAGGCGTTTTTAGTAGTATTTACTATAAGCGTTTCGGATATAACTTGCTATAAGTATTCTAAATAGTACTTACTATAGGTATTTTAGAAAGTACTACTTACTATAAGCGTTCGTAATAGTACTTACTATTACCGTTCCGAATTAGACCTACTATACGCGTTCCGGATAGTACTTACTATACGCGTTCCGGATAAGACTTAGTATAAGCGTTTCGGATTAGAATTACTATATAGCGCGTTCTAAATAAAACTTAGTATAGGCGTTATAAATAGTAGTACTAACTATTAGCGCTCCGGATTAGACTTACTATACGCGTTCCGAATAGTACTTAGTATTATAAGCGTTCTAAATAAGAATCCCTATAAGTGTTTTAGATTAAAATTACTATAGGCGTTTTAGATTAGACTTAGTATCCGCCTTATAGGTAGTACTTACTATACGCCTTATAGGTAGTACTTACTATAAGCGTTCTAACTCGGAAAGAACTACTTACTATAGATATTTCGAATAGTACTCGCTATAGGTATTCCGGATAGTAATTACTATAGGCATATTCCGGAAGTAGTTACTATAGATATTTAAGACTATCTTGCTATAAGCGTTCCTAATAGTGCTCGCTATAAGCGTTTCTAAATAGTGCTTTCTAATATCTATAACGCGTTCCGGATTAATATTACTTTTTAGTATTAGCGTTTTAGATATAACTTACTATACGCGTTTTAGATTAGGCCTACTATAGGCGTCTAGATAAGACTTTAGCTACTCGTCGCCTTAGGCTTCTCGTGTGGCTCTTCGAGCCACATAAGCCCTAGTGATCAGTGATGAGCTGGTGTACGAATGTAAACCCTTGTTTGCCAGGGTCGGTGGTATGCGAAAGTGGCTTCGCACAAAATCGCCGTCTTGGGTTCACTCGTTCAAATGTTCAAGTTTGTACAGTCACAGTACACCCCGCTGCCGATATCGCTTGGAATTGCTGTGTATGGTGGCTGGTGAGTAGACTGTTCTCTTCAAAGTGCTCTATATATATGTTTGTGTCTACATGAAGTCGAGCCCGATACCGAAGCTCAAGCCTTTTCGGCCCTCTTCTCCTTTGCGAATGATTAGAGGTAAACTGAAGTTCACCTCAACTCTTGCCGCTGGATGAGCATACACCAGCCCAAAGCCAGCAGCCGCGCTTGGCGGGCCATTTGTGATGTCGCTAATTGTCTTCACAAGGCTGTCGCTGACATCGCCCATCGACATTGGTTGCTCTCTGCTCTCCCCTGATCGCGTATCCTTGAGTGCAAGTAATCTGCCGCCATTTACGAAAGCCTGTAATCGAAGTGGCGTGTCTTTACCGACCATGGGTAGTGGAAAGAGAAGAGAGGCGCCGCCTGCCGCGTAAACATCACCACCAGCGGCATCTTGGCCGTCACGAGGTCCAAGTCCCGAAAGACGGAAACCACGCACATCGGTGGGTCCACCAAGCTGGAATCGATCGTTGATCCTGCTTTGTGAGGGAATGTTCAGGTCTCCCAGTGGCAAGGGCGCTAAGAAGCCTCCTCTTAAGCCGGCGGTGAAGGAAATGCCGCTGTCACCTTTGATGCCGGGAATTGGAAATGGAAGAGCAGCTTGGGATTCAGCTTCGAATTTGCCGAATGCGACGTCTCCCTTCAGTGGCCCAAAACCTGCAATCTCAGACACAGTCTTGAATAGCAGTCCTCTGGACGGTAGCATGGGGATGTCTCGTGAGTCGCGCGTCCATGTATGTGATATGCTGGACTTGAAACTGTCGCCAGCATCGGCGCGGATGGTAGGTGAAGCCTTTTCTGCCAACGCTGTGACCTGTCTCCAAAAACCAGAGTAGGCAAAATCGTGTTTGCTGAATGGTGATGTCCGCCATAGTAGCCTCGTCTGACCTCCGCGAAGGACTTCCTCGTGCGATGCCCACGGCTTCACTGTGCTGCTCTTCAATCCTCCTATTTCCCACCTCAGGTCAGGATTGGACAGTATGGGTGCGTCGAAGGTAGCGCTGTACGTTTCTCTTGTCCTCGTGCCTAAGCTCGCATTTCCATTTAGACGTTCTCCTCCACCAAATATGTTTCTTAATGTAGCCTGGACGTATGCACTTCCCTCTGCTGTACCAGCCTCGGTACCAGTCTTGATTGTGTACCGCCCTCTCTCTTTAGCGCTGACAAAGACTGCATAATCGGTTGGCGTAGTAGAAGGGTCTGTTGGCTCGGCCTTGTCAATGTAGGTGGAAATGGGGTGCTGGAAGATGTCTAATCTGTTGAGCTGATCGACTGCCTTGCTGACTTCGGTGAGAGCCTCACGAAGGGTGTAGTATGCTTCGTTTTGCCGATTGTGAGAGAGGAGTGGATCGAAGATGCGTTTCAGGAAGCCATGTCGTGTGTGTTCCGCATGGAGGACACGGATGGAGGAGATGGTCACCGGCGCCGTAGAATTGAGAGAGATCTAGGTGAAGTGAGTACTCCATGCTGAATCCTGTTACACATTGCGCCTACAATTTCCTGTTGGCGCTTCTCTGCCTTCTCATAGGAGGCATGTATGCGCTCGTTGATTTCCTTTTCTCGCTGCTCCAGCACTTTTGGGTCTATTGGCTGCCTCAATTGCTGGAATATCTGGTTTACATGTCAAGGATGTTTCATATATAGTCACGGTGCTTCTTCATACCTCGTCGTCCAGCGACGAAGACGCCATCTTCGGTCGTCAATGCCTCTTGATGAAGCAGCAGAGAACGTGGAGCTCGCTCAGGAACCGGCCGGGTCTGGTTCCGATTCCGTTTCGGGCCGAGCCAAGGTTCAATGTCGCCTTCTCTCACTCCCTTCGCTTCCTCACCTCTACCCAATAAATCTTTAAGCGTAGTCTCGCCTCTGCCATGCACTGTGCATACTGTTCATTTCTGTGGTCGTATTCTTCCTCGCTGGCCCATACGGCCATGTCCAAGCCACTTCTCCCGCCGCAGAACTAGACTTTCCCCATACCGTTCGCAACGCCACCATTGGCATGCGTTCCTCTTTCGGACGGAGCTACCGTCTCGCCGCACGGCTAGTGTATAAAGTCCTTCTTGCCCTCGCGACTTGTCCGCGGAACGTCCCACGGTAAGTCTACCACTTTCCCGTCAGTCATCCGCTTTCTGTCCCAGCCAGCACACCCACCAGCTACACGCGCAACAACACCATGTCAACCACGACCACCGCCGATGTCACGCTCATCACGGGCACCGCAGGACCAGGCGCATTCGTTCCATACACTGGCACATTCGCTTTTTCCACTGGAGGAAGCACTACCTCCTTCGAAGCAGAGACATTCATTGGACAGATTCTCAACAACGGCAACACGAACTGGGTCGCAGGACCTTCTAGCGAACCTTTCTACCTGTTGACATCCTCTGCCGACGGCGCGACAGCAACCACTCTCGCAGACGGCAACACGTACTACTACACGCAAGGCCCTCGACCAGTGTTCCAACAGTTGGAAGGAGGAAGCATTAGCTCTGATGGTGGCGAATCTGTGACAAGCATCACCACCACTGCCGCAACGACCGGCTCAGACGTAACAGTCATCACTGGCACATCGACAAGCTCCGACTCGCACTCCCACTCAACTGGAACTGCCACTGAGAGCGCAGCCGCAGCATCTAGCACTACCTCAGGAAATGGCGCGTCTTCTGCAGGAGCGAAGCTCTCCGGTCTGTTCGCGGCAGGCTTGATGGCGCTTGCCTACGTTTTGTGATGGGCATAGCAGACAAGGTAGCACTCAGCGATTGCCTCACCAGACGTGAGCTCCAGAGTATTGTTATGGAGCACTAGACAAGCTCAAGGCGGGCTTCGCGCAAGATTCGTCGGACCACAGCACGATGATGGCATGCGATCCGGTATCGGGTGTCAGGCACAGCTTCAACAGACTGAGAAACGACTGTATGTTCAAGATGAGAGCAGGCCATGATACCACAGAAGTAATTACTCGATATCCCTTTGCACATTGACCAATGCCAAGACTCAATGGTGGCGCTGACATGGATCAACAACATTGCTTGCACAATTGCTTCACGACGCGTCGTTTTCACTCAATTGTTTCCGTTACCACGTGTCCACATGGCGCAAGTGAAAGAAAACAGGTTGTCGATTGATTGGTGCACGTTCGACGGTCTGGTTGCTTCGCGACGCTGTTGCGGCAGAAGGCGCGACGATGATGTAAATGCGCGTCAAGCTGTTTTCCTGGAAGCTCCCCGTCACCGTGCACCTCAGAACAAAAGGTCTATGTCCGCGCTGCCTGTGCTTTCTCCTCACCGCGTGCATTCTTCCGCACAACAATCAATCTTGTTGCCTTGCCTCACTTCCAGACCCTATCCTGCACCTGAAACACCTGCATCGAAACAACATCACACATCACTGAAGAGTTGACGCCAGCATGAGATTCTTCACATCGGCGGCCGTCGTCGCTTTGGCGGCACAGTCTGTCGTTGCAGATGGCTGGTTTGGCAAGGCCGGTAAGTCTGGAATGCGTCATGTTCATCGTTGACCCAGTCTGACTGACCAAGGCCGCTCAGCGTACGACAAGTGGCACCAGACCGAGCTCGAGCGATGGCTGTCCGATCACGACATCCCCTACCCGGCTGCCTCAGACCGTAAGGACATTCAAGACCTTGTGGCCAAGCACTGGGAGAACAATGTGGTGAAGCCATACAACGCCTGGGATACCCACCAGCTCCAGAACTACTTGAGCGCCAAGGGTCAAGAGGTCAAGAAGGGCACCGAGAAGAGCAAGGACAGCCTCATCCAGCAAGTCGAGGGCTTGTGGCACGAGACCGCAGATAAGGCTAATGATGCCTACTCCAATGTTCAGGATTGGATCTTCGACACGTAAGTTGACTTTCACACCAACCGCTTTTGCATTGACTGACACCTCCCAGCTGGACTGAGTCTCAGCTCAAGGCCTTCCTCGACTACCATAACATTCCGAACCCATCACCACGCACTCGCGACTCCCTTCTCCACACTGCCCGCGCCAACTATCAGAAGGTCGCTGACAAGGCAGGCGAGACTGCTGCTTACCCCGGCAACTGGCTCTACCACGCTTGGTCTGACTCTGAGCTCAAGGCATGGCTCGATGAGCGTGGTGTCCCAGTCCCACAGCCAAGCACTCGCGACAAGCTTGTTGCATCGCTCCGCCGCAACTCTAGACTCGCTGCCAACCGAGCTGCTCAGGAGTACGCCTCTGCTTCCAAGTCTGCCGCCGCTGCTCAGCAGTCTCTGAGCGACCAGCTGCTCGAGAGCTGGAGCGACAGCCAGATCAAGGAGTGGTTCGACAGCAACGGCATCAAGGTGCCACAGGGTAGCAAGCGTAACGAGCTTATTGCTCTTGCTCGCAAGCACTCTGCGCAGCTCAGCGGTAATAACGCCAAGGCATCCGCTGCCTCAGCGTACGGTGCCGCCACCTCCAGCGCCGGCAACTACTACGCTCAGGGTACAGACGAGGCCTATGGCGCCTTCCGCTACTACTACGATGTCATTGCCAACCAACTTGGCTTCGCTTCCGCTGAGGCCCAGAAGAGCCTGAGCTCCGCATCTGCCGAGGCTTCCAGGACTGCCAGCTCTCTCTCCTCCAAGGCCAGCGTTGACGCTTCCAAGTCCTCTAGCCTCGCCTCCAAGTCTGCTTCCAGTGCCTACAAGGACGCCTCTAAGAGCGCAGAGAGCGCGGCGAACAAGGCAGGAAAGGCTTACGACTCGGCCACCGATGCTGCCAAGAAGGAGTTGTAGATGATGAAGGATGGATAATCAACGATGGATATTAGTGCCGCAGCAGGCAGACGGTGGTCATTTTGCCTACAGGTCAGGTAAAAGAACAATTTGTAACGGCCGCACATGCGCACCAAGGATCGACGACACAGGCGTACGAGAATGGATCACGAAAAGAAATGATGAGTGTACTACTACAATACCCAGCTAGCAAAGGCGCCAGATAGCTGTTCTAATGGATGTAACCTGAGGTTGACATACTCGTTCTCCCTTGACAATGCAAGGACTTGCGAGTTTCCGCAGACGGAGATAAGTGTCTGTGTCGGCGGATTTAAGAAGCGATGAAGAATGTCTAATCAACCTTTCCATAGTGAACTCAAAGCCTTTCGATTGTGTGTTTACCTGCATCCCGAAAAGGCCAGTGGTGCTGGTCAGCCTCAGCTCCTTGGTCCGACCGGACTCCTACCTCCGTCATTCAGGCTTGATCTGCATTCGAAAGTTCATCCGACTGCCAATGCACGTCGCTCTCAAGCTCGGCGATACGATAGTCGCTTTTTATCGTAGGATGAAGTCCGAGTACATGGGGGTCAAAGACACGAGTATATAGAAGACATTGCAATCTCAGTAGAAATAAAATCACATTCACACTCACTCACACTCACACCCACACCAACACTTAAAAACCACACAACCGTACATCTCAAAAATGTCCTACCCAACCCACCTCCCCAAAATCGACTCCACAACCAAAGACGCCATCCTCGACACTCTATACCGCGCCTGCCTCTCCTACGACATCAACTCCGTCGACCTCCACGACTCCGCCTTCGTCAACAGTCCGGAAACCACTTTCGAAATGTCCGGGTTAGCAACATACAAAGGTCTCGACGAGATTCGTAAACTCCACGCCAATGTGGGTCCTTTGGATACCACGCATCTCGTGACGAATCCTCGGATTGTGGAATTTTCTGACGCTCAGGGCACGGCGAGGTTGACGGCTAGTGCTTTGGCGCAGCATTTTCGGACCGGCGAGGGGAATTTGGGTGATGCGAGGAAGTTTATGACGGGGAGTTTGTATGATATGGATCTTGTTAGGGAAGGGGAGGGAGTTTGGAAGGTGATGCATTTCAGGATGAAGGTTGTTTGGATGGAGGGGGATCAGAGTGTTGTTTTTGGGTCGGAGTAGATTGAGGGTGTTGGGGGTTGGTGTTTTTGCGGTGCTGGCTAGACAGTTTTGCTTTATAGATTGAGAGCTTTCGATTCTTTCTGCTTCTCGCGTGCGAGTGGTCGTGTCGCCGTCAAAAGGAAGTGGTTTTCGGATGTGATTTGAAGCGTTCTCGTAAAGGCTGGCGAACCTGGTGACATCAATTCGAATCGCTCGTTGGCGCCTTAGCATCAGATGCAAGCAAAAAAGGTCAGGCAACGCGCAGCAGCGAGTGCAAATGAAATTACGAGATGGTTCCTGCAAAAGAACCAGATTTTGCAGCAGGATAGCAAAAAGAGACCGATGATAACTATGACTTCCTACCAATGTCGTGCGCTCATCAAGTCTCGAACGCTGACGCTTGGAATGTGGTCACCCTTCATCCTACAAATTAGCAAAACGAAAAGCTCCGAGTGGACTCGAGAGGAAAGCGAAACCTTCGTATCTACTATCACGCGTCAACTTTGTTGACGACTTACAGACCAATTCGACCGTTAGCGGGTTTTGTCTTTTGTTATTGGCTGCTGAGAATTTGGCGTTTATATAGGTTGCACATGTGAAGTGCCGAGCTTCTGCCGCGCTGGTGAGCGGATTTCGCTTTCCCATCTAGACGTTTGACTTTGCACCACCCATCGCAGTATTGGCGGGGTCCAACAGAGCCTGGCGCAGTGCAGCTGCTGCATCGGTCGCACGCTTGATATGACGACGACTGCTCGAGTGAAGCGTGTGTTGCTCTGTCGGTGGCTCAGTGCCGCACGCATCTGGCCGTCGAACGGCGGGCAATATAGCGACCCGATTCAGTTTTTGGAATGCCACCAGCGCGCATTTCAGAGGTCTCGGCGCGGTCTACAGCCAGCGCACTCGCATTATATGGCAAGTCTGCCAGGACCTCAATGTTGTCTGCCGACCGGTGTTGTGTTGGTGCTGGTCTTCTCCCTGCCATAAACTGGACTGTGGAGGGGAAAGGTCTTTCAGGTGCCCTCTTGCAAGTCCTTCACTTCGAGCCAGCTTGGCGGTTTTACTTCCCCAAGATATCTGAATATGCATCGCGCGTTCTGACCTGCTCTTTCTGTAATCTCGCTACCGCTATCGGCGGTATTCTCGACGTTGTTCGGGCTTGTTCATGGCAGGCACAATTCTGAGTTCTGTAAAGACAGTCATTCAGACTGCGGTATTCGTCTAGTTCCTGGGAGATATGCACTGCTCATCAAAGCGTGTGGTAAGTGACTGCTGAGAGGTTGCTCGGGCTCGAAGGCTTATCCGTGGGAAGCTTCCACCATACCGTGCGGCTAGGCACTCACATCGCGACGAATTGTCACGAGTCGCAGGGGAGGTTGGCAATCGATGGGATGTTTTCACGATGCATTGGAAGGTAGGAATCAGGAAAGGCGTGCGTGCCTAGGAAGTGCTGTGTCGTTCACTCCATGAAGCTTGGCACTTGGCGTTGCGACAAGGATTCCGCCTCGTTCGTTCCTGAACTGACTGCCAGCTTTGTCTCCCGATGCAGTTGCATCAGTGGTCCCAGGAGAAGGACAGGAAGCTTTTTGCCTTAATATTCAGGACTTACATCGCTCGTCGGGAAGCATGTCTGCTACATGCCCATCTCCTCCCTGTGCAGTGGTGGTATCCAGCAGTCGCGGGCGACGCCTTGAAATCTAGCGGCAACAGACGGTTGAATGAAAGTCGAAGAGAGCCCTGAGAACCGGCGCTTTTGGATTGCTACGGCATTCACAGTGGGTGCCAGCAGAGAATCATGACATAGGCGAGCGAAGGCGAAGAGACTTTTAAGCAGGATGGTAGAAAATAAAGAGGAAGATGCAGTTCCTTCAAGAGCAGCACGATAGAATGGAAGTGATATGCAAATTCTCTGGCTGCAACGGGTACGTCTACATTCTTTATATCAGCAACACAATGGGTTTGCGAGGCAGCTCATAGCTGCTCATAACCCAAACGAGTAATCGCATGTGGTCGACAAAAAGCGTCGAAGGAGAATCTCATCCTCCAGAATGAAAGGCACCTTTGGCTTGTGAGGGCAAGAGACTGGGAAACAAGGGTCACTCAGCGAATGTGGTGTGCGGCCATTTAATGACAGCCACGGCCCAGCATGGCCCAGGACTAGATTTCCCTTCCTTTGTGAGTGGCATTCGGGCACCTTCCTCTGTTTCATACACCGTTGGCTTCAAGAAGATGGTCGGCACAGTGGTCTTGCGATCACATAGATTTGAACCTTCGAGTCGGACTTGGCTTTGTTTGTACAACTGCGGTTTGGAGGCACGGAATCTAGGTCGAACGATCAAGGTCCACAATAGGAACGAGATTTCGACGCTGTGTCCCGGGTGAAGACAGATGCTTCGAGAAGACGGTTGTCAGACTTGTCGCCCAAGAACATTGCCAAGACTTCCTCTTGGACGAAATCAAATCAGCCGGTAGCGAAGAGATCGTCGACACCGCATCGGCGTGATCTGCACTTTTGCGGAGAATGCGAACGTGTTACAGAAAGTAGATGCGCTAGTAGCAACATGAAACGACACTTTTAGATCCATTCGTGTCTGGCTCAGCGGATCAGCAGAAGTGAAAGGTGTACATCTTCAACAGGATCACAATTGACCAAGACGAACCTGGACGGAAAGATGATAGTAATACAAGCTACGGGAAGATTAATCTCGCACAACTCCGACGCTTCATGCATCGCGAGTCTCAAATCGTCCAAGTTAACTTTTCCAAGACTCCATCGAATGCCTCAAAGGCTATGCAGTTCAAATCCCACTTCCAATACTCCTTTCCCCAAAAGCTTCCTAAAGGCTGACAAGAGTGCCAACGGAGACGAAATGAATTGATGCTCGTAACCAGAAACGAAAGTCGATGCCAATGCTCGGACCGGCCGAAGATCAGGGTCAAATCCAGTCCCAAAGTAAAATCCTTGTGTCGTGGCCGACCACATCTCGAAATGAAGGTCGATTATAAGTAATGTTGAGTGAAAAAGAAGGAATGAATGGTCATGTATCATGGATCATGATGAGACCAGTGCCAGCCAGCACCAAATCCTCACGCGCGTCTGGAGTGACCACGGGAATCAGCAGCCTGCTTGCTCTCCACAATCGTGCTGCTGCGCTTCCTCTCCGCCGAGCCTCGCTGTCCGCCAAACAAATCCTCGACTCTGCATGGCTCGAGCCTGTATTTTCGGATGATTTCCTCGTCTTCGTAATAGGTGAGGTCGTGGTAGAACTCCTTGGAAATGCGGGCTGGAATGCGGTATGGTCGGCCTCGGATCTCAACAGTTCTGATCTGTTGTTGTTGGTCTTCAGGTTGTCGGGCGGCGTTCGATGCTCGTGCTGAACGTACTCCGAGGAGCTCGTTTGCGGCTTGCATTGTGTCTCGTCGTTCTTCTCGAGTCGAGTGCCAGCGACCGGATGATGTACGTGTGTGAGAGATTGTAGCCATTTGAAACGGTGGTAATGATGTTCGTTTATTTGATGAAAGAATGTGATTGTTGATGTTGTATGAACGAGTGTAGTGGTCGTCAAACTTGTCTTGGGTTCGGATATTAGATGAAGTATTATGCAATGAAGAAGGAAACTGCGGATGGCTCTTGCGAAGACCTGACGATGGGAGCTGGGGAGGTGCTTCTTGTATGTCTTGTACTTATGCTTTCGGGAGATTCAAAGGATCGACGCTCCTGAGAAGAGTCGTCCGGAACCCAGGACCCTGATCTCCATGCACGCCGCTTCTTCCACGTTTCATCTGCCGTGGGAGGAAAGTCCAGCGCGAGAGGCGTGCTAGACTTTCTCGGCAAGTGAGCCCCTATATGTGCCATTTTATAGCTTCTTGGGCCGGCTATTGCTCGTTCTTGAAGCCCGAAGCACGTGCGAAGGTGATCTACTGCTCGTCTAAGGACTGTCAAAGCGAAGATTAGCTTCAGGTTACAGGTCCAGAAATAATCATGGCTGGTTGCACGCAAGTAGCAGCAATTTGCACTGATTATGTGGATGCTTGCTTTATCTACCTCTGTTCCATTTTCATGAGTGCTTGAGTGCGAGTGAAGACCAGAGCCTGCCTTTGTCTCAAGGGTCACTGGAACCGGATATTGAGAAGAATCCAGATTTTGTCGAACTTTCGTTTCTGGCTGTTTGGTCCACCATACGAAACACTGCCATTCGAACTCTCGCGGAACATGCTGCCCACTGTTTCCGCGACAGGAGGCAGAAGCCACAAAGGACGTCTGGCTCGCCGGCACATCTGGCATCAGCATCCGGATTGTAGCTAGTGCGGTGCCCGCGCTGATCTCGTCGATGAGATGGCGAAATGTGTGCGCACTCCAGCGCCAAAAGTAGCATAGAGTGGACTTCATTGCTGTGGAGGAGACGAAGAGCGACGTCCGGCATGCTGGCTGTAACATATCCGGCTGCAAGGCGGTTGAGGCTGCTGCAGGGTTGGCTTTCGAGTAGCAAAGTGCAGAAGAAGCGCCGGTCCCTTGAAGAAGCATACTACTGGCTGCATGTCTTTGTTCGGTTGAGATGCACCGCATTTCCGCGCGGCTTTGGACGGTGCCAGCTGGTGCATGAGTCGCGATGAAGTCTTGGTAGCGATCTCCTTCCCTTTCAGGAGACATTGCAGCACGTCGGAACGCAGGCCGGCCGTTGCCGACCAATGCGGGATCGTGGGACTATACTGTACATGCCTGATGCCCAACGATAGCATCCATCTGGCAAGACATCTTAAGTCGCTCTGCCCCGGAAAAGCAAACGCCACTGGGTCGAGACAACTATGCAGATCGCCAGATCTGTGGAATAGACGCAAGAACATCCCAGAAGCCGACTTTGATAAGGGTCTGTGCAGTGCAGGTCTGCAAGTCTGCCTTAACTCGAACTTGCACGTGCAGAACGTTTGCCAGATGGAAATTGGGACGATGAGTCTGCATACCAGTATCAATAATGCGGTGTCGTGGCGCTGGCCTCTGAGTCCCTGCAGAATGCGCAATTTGGCACATGCGAACGCCAAATTGGCGCTCTCGAATCTCTGCTGTCCTCGTAAGCCAACATCTGAGACTTCATCGTCCGTGCCAAAGCTTATCTTGCATGTTAGTTGGGCCTCGAACGCAACAAGTACTGCATTACTAACATGGCGACCAAGCCTGATTGTTATTCCCATCAAACTTCTGGTGCATCCTCTTCATTTTGCAGGCTCCGCCCGCTGATGCCCGTGTCTCAATGGCCAGTCCAGCAGAAGCAATTCCAGCCAATCCACTACACTCCCTTCCCTTCTCAGCAGGCAAGCCTGATATTTCTCCACGTATGCTGAATCGTTCTGACGGTATCGATTCATCGTTCCAGAATTTGGCTGATCCTGAAACTGTCCTGTAGGGCGCCAGCAAGTTCTACGCTCATATTCTCGTCCCATAACACAAGCGTAGCTTCCCGCTGATCCCGGTCCCGTCTGGAGAACGTGATGGAAACCAGCCAATGACTGATGGCTATGCGGAACGCAAGGAGCCACTGTCCGGTGCCTGGTATTGCTTTCGCACTCGGCAACTCTTGCCTGTCTTTCCAAGGTCTCTTCAACGCATCAATATCCATGGCCTCTGAAACTGTCTCCAACCGCTTACGATTATCAACTCCGACTTTGCCACCCTCTGTATCGGCTTGCTGGACGTTCAGAGAAGTGCCAATTTTCTCCACTTCCTCGGTAATCACGTCCAACTTACGGTCTACGCCACGAATGTTGCGTGCAACCTCGCTAAGATCTTTCGCGACGATAGTGATTCCAGTCCTAGTCTCATCTCCAATCTCGCCATGGCATCTTTGGCTTGAGGATCTCCCCCAAAGGCCCCAATCCTGGCTGCCAGTTTGACTCTCCTCTTCGTGAGCTTATGTGCCAATCCCATAATGACAGGGAAATGCGCCAGAACGCGGCAGACGGTCTTGCGCAGGCGTTTGTCGAGCTTGGTCTCCGCTCCTCCGTCCTCGAGATAGATTCTGAGTTTCTCCAGGAATACTGAGACTCGCTCTATGAGAGCCAGTAAAGTTTGCAAAGACTGCATCATACACCTGCACTGCGCTGACGACAAAGCTTATGGCATTGAAGCAGTTTTATCAACACCATGGAGGTCGCGTTGGCTGCAATATGACCGAATCTTTGCACGCACACAAGGGCGTTGTGAAAGACGTTCCTCGCAACATTTTTGGAGTTCTTTTGGAACCGTTGGGCGGATTGATTTTGCCAATAACACATCCCACAGTCAAAGTTAGTTGTCGGTTCGTCGTGTAGGTTCCATGAAGTAATCTTGTTGGATTTGTCGAGGATCTTGGCCCAGACAGCATCCAGATCATGTTCATCCGAGAAGCCGGTTGCAGGCGGCATTGCAGTGAGGTTTCAGCTATGCAACAATGCTGAAGAGGGCGAAGCTGGCAAGGTACTATGCCTATATATGACCAAGAATCGTAGTCTTTCCAGACCTACTTGTTTTGCAGCTGCTAGGGTCGTGGCGTAGGATCGCTAATGCTCCTTCAGTCGCACGAGAAAGCATGCAGTGACAAGGGCAAAAGAGGTCGATCCGTCTGCTGACGGAAGTATGCAGAAGCCAGATTTCTGTAAGGCGATAAAGCCTGAGGCTGTCGATGGTAGTGATCATTGACAACGTGTACGGATTGGTATAGTGTTGGAAGCAGGGCAGGAGAGGTTTCCAAATATAGTTTAACGCTTATCCTCTTTCGGTCTGTGAGTGATGACGGTCGATTCGAATGTCGACAGAGGTAGTAAACCAACGGTGTTAGAGAGGTAGACAGAAATTGGCGTGATTGTCGAGTATACTGCAGGAAGAGAGAATAGTACAAGCCATCCTATAAACCGTAGGCATTTTGCGATGGCGATGCTTCCAGCGCCCCAACGCCGATGCTTGCTTTGCTTTCCAGAAGCCACAGAACGTAAGCACGACCATCTACACATCCTCTGTGAACATACTCCTTCTCTCGGTCGGACTGGTCTCCGCACTACCTCTCGACCCAACAGTGCTATTCTGCTTCTTGTGAGCAGGTCTAGTGCTGCCTTGATACGTTGTATCGTCGTGAGGTCTCGGGCTGACGCTGCGCAAGCTCATGTTACTTGCTTCCGCGCCGTCGCCAAATGGATTGAGTGTGCTTCCACCTTGTCCACCGTGTACCTCTTGGTCGTATCGATCATCTAATTCTCGTTGTCGCGATCGACTTCGACCTCTTCCAGCATCTATGCCACCGGCACCCGCATTGTTGCCGTAGCCGCCGCCGCCATACGGCCCCTGGGCCGGATCTTGTAGACCCAATTCCTGCTCTTCATAGTACCCAGAGGCTTCGTGGTCTACCCTGGCATCCCATGCTTCATCGGGATCAAGCGGTCCAAAGCCTCGACCCCTTCCAGTTCCACTGCGACTCGCTCCATGGCCTGTACTTTCGTATGCGCCGCCGGCTATTCGTGGATTGCGCAGTGAGTTCCATTTATCGGCAATCCATCCTTGAATGCCTCCTGGCGCTGGCGCAGGTGCCTGATACGTCGGATTCTCTCGCTTGTTCTTCGAGAATGGGTTGAGATTAGGTGGTGGTAAGCCTAATCGTCGAGCTCTGTAGTGGGCGTATCTGGGTTAAAGGTCAGCGCATGCGCGCGCCGTCGGGTATGGTTTTCTTACCCTACGTATCCACCGCCTCCGAATATGAGCAGAAGCACGAGTATTATGAGGAATACTCCCCAGCCTTCCATGGCTTAAGGCTTCGTCATGCGAGTTGATGTGAGCTTACAGGATCCTTGTGCTGCCCCGGATTGCAGTTGCCGGTCGAATGTGGTCTGTCTCCAATGCGATCAATGCTTAAATGCTATGCACAGAGAAACCATGCGATCCCGAGAAGATCTGTGTGAAGCACGCCAGGTCCAAGTGGGATCGCAACCAACACCTCGAGCCTAGATTGCGCAAATGTGGAGGTCATGTCAGCCCCAGTCAGCGAATACGAGCTTGTCCGCCGTGCTGTAAAGTGCGTCGCCCATGGGTATTTCAGCTCACAACTTGCGTGCTCCTCCTCGAGACACCTTCACCGCAAGATACGCGACCAGATGGCGTCAGACATCACCAGAACTGCTGCTGCTGCTGCTGCTGCTGCTGCTGTCGAGAATGGGCGCGGCAGAGTCGTCCGCGAGCCAGGCTGAGGGCAAATGGGATGGACGGCCCGTGACGCTCTACTACAAGCCTGGCGAAGGTGATGAGGGCGGACTTGGGGTAGCTGAAGGTTACAAAGTCTGTAAGTCATCATGGGATATTGGGGCATGGCCAGTCTCAAAAGTGTGAGATTGCTGATGCTACCACGCAAGATCCTGAAACCGAATGGAAACGCATTCCGGCCAAGCATATCATGGCATGCGTGCCTGTACAAGATCTGCGCGCCAAAGACGATTACCACTTCCTATTTGTCGAAGCGAACCCGGATGCCGAACACGATAGTAAAGCGTCGCCGGTCCTGTTCAAGTCAGCCATATTGACCAATCCACCCCAAGGACTCTCCATCGACTATGTCGCTCCACGGCAAGGCGAGAACTGCTGGGAATTCAGGCAGGATCCTGCAGCTGTTCAGCCAAACTTTCACGTTATAGTGTCGACTGGCTCTGGAACTGGTCTGGCTGCTGAAGTTTGGAAGCAATTGGTCAAGCCTGGACTGGAGCACATAAAGGTCGACGAGGCCAAGCACTATGCATTGCACTACACTGATTCGGAGTCCACAGTGAGCGAGCTCACCAGGGATATTCTCCTCCCCCAGGCAAATCTCGGAGTCTATCAGTCCGTATTGCTCATGAGTGGCGACGGCGGTATAGTCGACATCGTGAATACACTGCTTTCTGGCAATCGAAGTCAGAACTACAGAAAGCCTAATATTGCTATCATGCCACTCGGCACTGGCAATGCGCTTGCTCACAGCGCAGGAATCACAAAGGATGATACCTTTGGAGTCAAGACATGGCTTCGTGGTGGACTGCAGGAATTGCCACTGTTCTGTGCAAGATTCTCATCAGGTGCTCGACTACTCACCGACGAGGCACGGAAAGAAACACCATTGCACACTATGGATGGGGCGACCGTCGCACATGGCGCAGTAGTCTGCTCGTGGGGTCTCCATGCAGGCCTAGTTGCAGACAGCGACACGGTAGAATTTCGAAAGTTTGGCGTAGACCGATTCAAGATGGCCGCACAAGAAGCGCTTTTCCCCAGCGACGGATCTCCGCCACATGTCTATCGTGGCAAGGTGTCAATACTCCGACCGCGTGAGCAAAACTGGCAAACCATTCGTCATGGAGAGCATGCCTATGTCTTGGCAACGTTGTGCAGTCAGCTTGAGAAAGGATTCACCATCAGTCCGGACACGAAACCTCTGGATGGGAAGTTACGGCTTGTGCATTTTGGTCCTACAACCGGAGAGCAAGCCATGTCCATTATGAGTAAAGCATATCAGGGCGGCCAACATGTACAGGACGAGAATGTCGGCTATGAAGAAATCGAGGCACTCAGAATCGACTTCGACGAGGTTGATGCGCGTTGGCGTAGAGTGTGCATCGACGGCAAGATCATCCGCGTCGAGCAAGGCGGCTGGGTAGAAGTCAGATCTGGTCAGAAAGGTGTAATCGATTTGATTGTATGAAGCTCTCCCGACACTTGATGTGCTATGATCTCCGATACCTTCGGCTGGGACGCTACAGGCGGCGGACTGATCTTCCTACCTCTTTCAGCGCCCGCACTTCTCGGGCCAGTGGTTGGAAGATTCACAGACCGGTATGGAGGCAGATGGTTCGCATTTGCTGGCTTTATTATCCTTTGCGTCGCTTTGGCTTTACTTCGACTTATGGAGCAAAATACGGCTGAACAGAAAGCGATATTGTGTGTTCTGCTTGTCCAGGTGGGAAGCTGCATGACTCTTACGCTTGAGCCGGTGTTGGCAGAGATGACTTCGGCAGCTGCTAGGCTTGAGAGATCGGATATCGAAGCTGGGCTTGAGGTCAAGAGTTCGTACTGTCAGGCTTATGCTTTGTTCAACATGGCGTGGGCGGCGGGAAACTTTGCTGGACCGTTGTGGGGTGGTCTACTTGTCGAAGCGGCTGGTTGGAAGGTTATGAATATGTCGATGAGCATTGTCGCCGGTCTGAGTGCTGTGCCTATTGGGCTGTTTCTTGGTGGTTGGTTGTTTGATCGAGGCGAACCAGATGCTTGAACTTTTTGTTAGCACTTACTGCGTTCAAGCGTTGAAGCGTTGTTAGCATTTCAAAAGCAAGATGCATTTCTCTGGCGCGAGACAAGGCCTGCAGACACTTCACACGGCTGGCAAACGATGTCCGTACTTGTAAACTGGTCCCAAAGGTGGGCTGACAGCTGCACCAGATCAAGATTGCCTCTCCTCTCAATCACCATCATACTTCCCACTCACCTCAATCCACGAGCTGTCTTGCTTCGCCCCTCTCTCATTGCCCTCTCTCACCTGCTGAATTTCAAGTCGCAGCTCACTCGCGTATATCTTCTTGGCTCCCTCTCCATTGTGATCCGCTGGCCGTGGACTGGGACTCTGCGGTAGATCTGGTTGCGCGCTTCTCTTGGAAGCGTGAAGAAAGCCAAGGAATCCGTGGACGACGCAGAAGACTGTTGTGTCTGGAACTTACTTAGTTGTGAGATTCAACGTGGCGAGGCGAGGCTGGGCGAAAATTTGGCACTCTGGCACGCTGAAATGTGCGAAAAAGATGGATTTGCAAGGCGATTGCCTCTCTAAGCGTCGTCTGTCGTTTGTCGTCTGTAGTCTGTCGTTCCGTGGTCGTGCGCTCGGAACAGCAGCGCTATCGCTAGCGCTAGATGTACAAGCTCCGCGGCAGCCCTGAACGCCGAAGAAAAGAACCATCTATCTCGTCTGAACGTCGCCATGTTCCGAGTCCCTAAAGAAGCTGTACACATGCCATACCGTGTTCAAGTTCACCCCAAACTCCTCAGCGCCATCGCTTACCATCAGAATTCATACGTATACATCTTGGTCCCATGCCATGCCATGCCATGCCATCTTCAACAACATCTCCCTTTCCTCATTCCCTTATGGACTTCATCTTGAAACTCTTCGTCGCCATGACTCGTCACGCCGCCCGGCGTCGCCAAGCTTCCCAACCAGCTCTTTCTCTTGTCTCCATGCCCGACTCTGAAGCTTCCACTGCCTCCATTCGGCAGATCAAAGTAACAGCCGGGCGTACAAACATCCGTTCCGGGCGTCTTGCCGTTCGACGTCTCTTCCAGCATTTGTTGTCTCGCCAATCGTTGCGTATGCTGATCTACCAGTTTCCTCGTAATGACACGAAACACCTCCTCAATCCCTTCGCCATCTTTCGCCGAGATCTCATGACAGCAATCCCAAATCTGCTCCTGGCCCCAGAAGCCAGAGCTCCGATTGCTATGCGGACTGTTGATGACATTTGTGCCGGGTTCCAGACGGCCTCGATTGATGGCTGGCCTACCTCCGGCCTGCTCTTTCGAAGCCGGTGCTATGGCAGCAGGATACAGCTGCTCGGCCACATATCCGATGCATCTCTCAAATGGCACTTCTCTCCTTGTAGGGTCTTCAGCGACCTGGTCACTCTTCGTGCCGACAATGTGTAGTATCATGTCCTCTTCGGCCTCGATTCCGCAATTTTCTCTTAGCTCTTGCAGCCAGCTACCCATTTCCTCGAAACTCCTCTTACTCGTGACATCGTAGCATAATATGGCGGCGTTGGCTCCCCGATAGTATAAACGTGATATACTCCTGAATCTTTCCTGGCCTGCTGTGTCCCATATCTGCAATCGTATGTTGGTGCCGCTTTCAGGATCATTGACGCGTGTGGTGAGGAATGAAGCTCCCACTGTTGATTGGGCTTTCGAATGCGGTATCCAAGTATTCTTCACAAAACGGTGCACCAACGAGGTCTTGCCGACGCCTTGAGCGCCAAGGACCACGATTTTGGCCTCGAGGGAGCTGGACGTTGCGCTGGAAGAGGCCATATCGCGTAAGAGGGCTCAGGGCAAAAGGGTGAAGTTCAAGTCCAAAAGGGAATCACGCCTCAACGTCTGTCTGCAAGCAGCAGATCACCGCATATGTTGCGTTTGATGTGTGTTTATCATCTTGTGACAGATAGATTGCTTGTAGCTTGGTGAAAGTGTTCTGCTCGCATTATACACTACATCTCGAACATTTCCGGCGACTTGAAAAGCAAGGAAGGGGTGCGGGAGTTCGAGAAGTTGGCTGGGATGATGCAAGAGTAAACAAATGGTGCAGATGGTCATGGTCATGGGGAAGAGCAACGGTGCGCCATCCCGCAACAGGCATGGCATGGCGTGACCGGATCAGGATGGTGGCATCGTGTGATCCCTGACCCTGACCTCGTGTCCGACGAGCGATGCATCATGTCGGAGTCGTGAAATATTGATGGGGGTCCCGACACGTTCACGAACTCTGACGCCGCTATCTATGGGTTTGTCTCGATGTCACCTTTGTAGGCACTATTGACCTTCCGCCTTTGGCCTAACTCTGCCCTGTGCCTTCTCAACCGGCTCGACCTCAGCCCACGATGGCCACGGGATCTGGAAAGCCTCCGTGATACGTCCGTATGAAATGCCTTGCAGACGCCCAATTGGCATCGACTTTGCCGGATCAATGAACTTGCGATCCTGATCCACAACATCTTCGCGCACCCAGAAACGGCTTCCTTCCAAGATGGTCATCACATTCGAAACCTTGCCAGGCCTGCTCCGACTTTTGATTTCGTGCGTAGAAACGAGCTTGCATTCGACGGCGAACACAGCCTCTTTGATGCGGCTGGGCCTCACATCTGTGCACGGCTCAGGAGTCAGACCCGTCAGAGCCCATTCGCTGACACCATAAGGCGTATCCATCGCACACGCATTGGAGGCTTCCAGGATGTCCTCGGTGAGAATGTTGATGACACATTCTCCCGTTTCTTGCAGGTTGGCCAAGCTGTCTTTGGCTGAGGTTGAGCCAACGGCATGACCAATGACAAACGTGGGTGGATCGTGGCTCATGGCTTGAAAGAAGCTGTACGGCGCCAGATTCGTGCTCTTCCCGTCGGCAGAAATTGTGCTCACGACGGATGTTGGTCGAGGAATGACAGCTGAAGTGATCAGGCGATAGTTAAACGCGGGATCCCGACCTTCTGCATAGGGATCGATGGAGATCTGTTTGTTCTTGGACGGGTCGTCTTTATTGTTGGCCCCATCGCCGAACTTCCAGTCTGGCCGCTTGGTCTTGGTCCATGTAAATGGAGTGCTCTCATTCCAGTCTGGCCTTTTGGCTTCCGTTGCTTTGAAGTCGCGAGGAGCGCGGCGATTCTGGTCGACCTGGCCGGTGCCGGTTGGGATGCTGGTTGCTCCAGTCATGATTGAAGAGATCTGTGATAGACGGCTACCGCCCTTTGTCTCGCCAGACATATATACGAGTGTCTCTTGAATGAATTGTCAGCAGGAGAAATCCTATAGGGCGTGAACACGAACAATGAGTCGCTGAATTCGTAGGAAGGAATGAATTGCAGAGGATCATCAACAATGCTACCTCAACCTCAGTCGTGTATCTTGCGTGATGTTGAGCCTTGACTTGGTGTTAGTAATCCAATGATTCCATCTTATCCACTCGGCAGTATCAGCGGCAATTGACTTCCGGCGCCTGATCACACTTTCTCCCATCTCAGCCCCGCTTTGCTTATCCGACTTGCAAGATAGAAGAATGTCGCGACAACACAGATGCTTCCTGTGAAAGCCTGTACCGCGACGAAATTGTCGTTTTCCCCGAGGATAGCGCCTCCGACTGGAGTACCGATGAGTACACCAAACGATCCTATCGCGAAAGACATGCCCTGTGGTCAAGAAGATCAGAATTCCGCTTTATGAAACCTTGCCGCGTTTGGCGGAGTGAACTCACCATACTGCGGCCCAAATTTCTGCGATCAGGTGCCAGAGACGCGATACAAGGACCACCGAGTGCTTGGATTGTACCAAAGAAAATGCCGTAAATGACTGCGAATACCAAAAGTCCTGCTTGGTTCCGGATCGCAATCCATGCGTACACTACAATCGCAGCTCCGATCATGGCGGGAATGGTCATATTGATAGGTCCGGTCCAATCTGCAAAGAAGTTCGGCACCAGTCTCCCAATGATGTTCGCAGCTTGGAGGATGGGAACGAGGTAAAATGCTAGATTCGGATCGGTGATGTGATAAGTCAAGGCGTAATTGCTGATATATACGATCGGGATGTAGAGCGCGACCACGATCGAAAACAGGCCGAAAGAGTACAGCACGAGGGGTGTGTTCTTGAAAAAGCCTGGAGCGATCACGCTTCGCATCTTTCCCGAAGCATGTCGGCTTCTGAGAGTGGCGATTGACACGATGCCAAAGAAGAGTGTGATGAAGGCCACGACTCGGACCGCCCAATCGAAACCGATCTGAGGAGCCAGTCGATGGAGGACGATTGGGTAAACAACGCCGCCGAAGCCAGATCCTCCAGCAGCGATACCATTGGCGAATTGGCGCTTCGTGACGAAGTATTGCGATACCACAGAAACTCCTGGAGTAAACAGACAGCCGAAGCCGAGTCCGGTGACAATGCCTTGGCACAGGATGATCTGCCAGTACTCGGAACAGATGCTTGTGAGCATCATGCCCAGTACCACAAGCAGATTTCCAACAATGAGAAGTGAGCGACAGTATCCAGCATCGAATAAGGATCCCGTCAGGAAGCCCATGAAGAGAATCAGAAAAGATTGAATGCTCCCGATCCATGCAATCTGGCTGGCTGGCTGTAGCAGTCTCTGCTCCCAATATACCTGGAACTCTCCATAGGCATTAGCAAGGCCCCATGTGTTCGCCCAGACGGCGAATGATCCGACAACTTGTAGCCAGCAGAGCATGCCATGATCGAAGACCTGTTCCTGAGGTGTCGCTATTTTCTGTAGGCCGTTGAGCTCTGTGTTCTTCTCTGAGTCTTCGTTTGGAATTGAAATGCTCATGATGGCGTTCGGCGGTAATGAGCAGTGTCTAAAGTGTTTTCAGTCTCTAAGATCGGTCACCGGAAATCGTGCGTGGGAAGTGATGCTTTGCGGCTTTGATCCCGTTTGCAATGACCTGCTGAGGACCATCTTATATTCATGGTCCACTGCGATGCTACGTGTTGCTTCATAATCATCGATGCATTTATGGCGCTGTGAATTCCCCATCGCGTATAGTCCTGAAGGAATGGGTAATCGGTGCGCTCGGTCCTCGGACGCTCGGAATCTTGGGCGATGCTGAATAAAAATCCTGCTGCTTTCTATCGACTGCAAACTGCTTTCAATTACTGCATATTTCCGGGAAGATTCTGCTCAAAGAGTTCGCTAGACCACTCGAAGAATGACGAGAAGGGAATGTCTAAATTGTCAAATGGCGAGCCTGACCATAAAAGACCGGATTGTGATTCTGGCATTGGCACGCTCAACTGGCGAGGAAGTGTATCTCCACCAAGTGAATGTCCTTGGGTGTTATTGCGATTTCTGGTGTCAGTTGCCGGTCCAACGCAATGTGCCGGGCCAGCCATGCCATCCGGCTCTTCTTGGTAGGCTCTGCTGGCTTTAAGCAGTTTGAGAGCGGTGGAGCATGTCCAATTGCCTTGCTGAGCCTCATGGCCTGCCGTGGTCAACTCATTCTCAAGCAATTGAATGACCTGGTCCAATAAGCTCTGTACTCCTGGATTGTTGCGGCAAGCCTTTAACAAGGCCAGGACGCAGGCGCAGCTCAGAGACTCCTGGATCAGTGACCAATTGCGAAGTGGCAATACACTCAGCCGAGACATGCTTAAATACGCCGAGACAGTCGTCTGCATGCTTCTCAAAGCACGTTCACTTAAGTCTGCCTCGAAATTTCCAGCATTGTCGCTGTTGGCACGTATCATACATGGTCGACACATCTCCGCCTCGAGAAAAGACATATGCATACGGAGAGCATAATATTGGAGCGTCTGCTGCAGATTTGAACATCCTTCGACAGATTTTAGGTAGGGCGGCAAACGCTCGCGCAACATTTCGAGTGCGGCTATCCAATCTCGTACACTGCCCACTTTCGTGCGATCTGGTTCCGAGCTTGACATGTAGGCAAGACCAATGGCGTTCAAGGCGTGCATTGCATCGACAAAGGAGTCGATCAGATGGGAAGGTAGCCATGATTCTGGATTATTGGCATCGTAGGCGGTCTGTAATGGCGTTCGTCCAAAGCGAAGCGAAAGCAGAGCATCTTGCCAGATGATAGACTTCCTATAAGAATATGAGACGGCGGATTCAACAGCAACTGAACGACGATATGCTCACCAAAGATCGTGTTTTTCATTACGTGGATTGTGAAGGCCCAATGATTGTGCGAGCCTGAAGGTGAGCCCAAGAAGTGACCAGGATGCGTCTGAGGAGCCTGAGTTCTGGAAGCACATTCCAAGCATGAGCAAGGCTTGAACTCCTTGGAAGCATGGGAAGAGCAGCATCTCCGGAAATTGCAGTGCTGCAATGGATCGATGGACTGGACACGATTAGCACAACAGACCAGGTTTACAACCGAGAAGTGGTTGCTCTTACCAAAGTCGTCTGCATAACGAGCTCTTTCAGCGGCAGGCATGTCCGACATTTGCGCACCAAGAGCCAGAGAAGCCAGATATACAGAAATGCGATTGCGCTGAGTCTCGGTGAAGGTGCGGAGCGCAGGCTCATCTTTCGCCTGTGCTGATTCGAAGTCGCTCAGGAAGGTGAAGATGGAAAGCTCGAGCGAATCGCCATCTTTCAAGATGAAGGGGACCACATTTGATCGGAAAAAGGGGAAGAAGCGAAAAACTTCCGACCTTTGCGGAGAAATGGCGATTAGATCAGATGATGCGTATGAGGCTACAGTCGGGATCAGTCCTGCCTGGTGCTTGCTGACCGAGTGGTGGTTTTGGAGGCCAAGTCCTGGTCGAGCATTCTGGAGGCGATCTTCGAGGAAAGAGGCGATAGAAGAGCTGCCCAACGTTGTCGGATCAGCTCGTCGCGGGATTGACTGGGGACGGTCGGCATGGCTCGAGGCCGGAGTGGCCAAAGGGGCACTCGGCGAGCTGTTGTCCTGCTGCAACACATACGCCTGACGTTTGGACATGACCGCCGCTGTAACGCCCGGCGACGCGCCATGTTCGATATTGTCGGTCTCGCGCTTGCGCTTGTTGGGGCGTTTGCCATCATGGTAGAAGCAGATGTCGGGATGATTGCGCTGCGAGCACGTCGCACACGGCTGGCCACCAGAGCATCGGACCTTGCGCTTTGCACAGGGATAGCAGGCGGCCGTGCGCCGTCTCTCTTTGATCGTCTCGAGAACCCTATCGGCTTCGCTCTGCAATGCAGCCATGCTGACATTGTTGAAATGGAAAATGACGAGTGGCGGGGTTCGGATGATGGCAGGTGGGACGTCGGGAAGAGCAGAGAAGAGAAAGATGAGGAGCCGAGTCCGAGCATCCGAACGATCCGACAGCCGAGGGTATGACATGACTGCCCTTCCCATCACCAACAACATGCAATTCTCTCATCATGACTCACGCCTCTGAAGTTCGCAGGAGGGAAGAAGGCCTCAGCGGTACTTCGGAACGATGAATCAGACGCACACATTGTCTCGCTTGTATGGAAGAAGCTTCGTCTCTGCGATCCTGAGCAATGGCGACTGTGTTTCCGATCTCCAACGGCAGCTTCCGTGATTTCGCACGAGACTGTCACTACCGGTCTGTCGTCTTTGCGCGCTACTTGGTCGTCGAGCATCCAGTCATGACATTGCACCGAGGCTGATCTCTCTGGCGCTCGAATCAACTTCCGTCTTGTCCGGCGTTCTCCGACTTCCTGCGAGTTCCTGCCTAATGTCTGGCTTCAAGGCGAAGAATGCCACTTAGCTTCGATCGGCTGACCATCTCTTGCGCTGTACTCGCGTACGACGCGGTGTATCAAGAATAATAATAATAATATGACGAACACAGGCAGACAAAGGTGAGAGCAAGAGCCAGGTCGGCAAAATTGCGGAGATGACAATGGAAGAGAGAAAAGAGGCTGGCTTGGCGTGGCTTCAAGCTTGACGAGTCACGACATTGGTTCTTTTCCATGTAGTACCTGGTCCATCGATGACTGCCATCGACTTTCATGTGGAATCCACGACCCTCATCCTACCACCACACGTACCCTGTGACCACAAGACTCACCAGCACGACGAGCACTTCCCGCGACATGAGAATCCATGGTGTAGAGTCGCATGCTGCCTTGGTGGGAATCATATGATACGCGTCTATGACTCGACATCAACCGGTGCGCAGCCGCTTCAAACTATCAGCACGGAGGAAGAGAAGGCTCCTGGGCGAATGACGTTAAACGTACAAGGCACTCTCTGCGGCCATTCTGTCCATGAATTTGTGCGCATCAAACATCAGAGAGCCGGACGATGTTTTCGCTGGTAAAGTGGATCTTGACTGGATCTCTCTGCTAGCAGAAGTCGGCTCATCCTACACGCTGAACAGAATGCGTGCATGCCCGTTGGCCAGGGACCGGCTAAAGCCCGACGGCTGGTCTTGATCGGCGCGGCTACTTAAGACCAGAATCGAAGTTACGACATACTTAAGCTTGAAGCTTATGCCAAGCGTTATTGTCGTTTCTTCGTGTGCCAGCGACCTGAAACAGTAAACACAGAGAAATTTTCGGCGCTGACTTCATGGCTTGCACCTTTGATCGAACGTATGGCCCTAAAGAGATCGGAGGAGTCTAACCTACTAGCTTGCTGCTGGAGTATATATGGCCCGTCGTCTTCGAGCGCAAATCTGGCAGACTGGAAACCTGCTTTGCCAATATGCACTACTTCTCTGCAAGCCTTGTGCTGGCTGCGCTCGCGGCCGAACTGAGCAATGCCCAATGTATCAACAATGTCGCCGCCTACAATCCCAACATTCGCACCATGACTGCGAACCAGAGTCAGTCATATGATGAAGAACAAAAGGGATCTTGAGCCTTACTGATGATCTCTAAAGCGTGGTTTGTCGTCCCAGCACCAAATGCAGCGGTTCAGAAGGCAGTCGATGAGTCCAATCCGACGGCCGGGTTGAAATTACTTCCTGTGCCTAATGATCAGTCTCTGTTCCCTCAAGGCTTTCCCGCTGGCATGCATCCAGTCCTCGTAAGCAATGGGCGAAATGACGATATTCGGATGTCCGCTCTCCAGATCGATGGTGCACTCATGACTGCCGACATTTACGTGCCTTATGTCTCAAAAGGTGGCAGCCAGACACCACTCTCCGCTGCCCTACCAAATTACATTGCGGGGGAAAACGGCCCTCTTCCCAACGGCCTTGTACCTGCTGTTGCGTCGAATCTGCTCTTCGCAGGCAACCCCTTGAGGCTTGGACAATTCATTCCAGAAAGCTCGCCATACCAGTCCGACGCAGGAGGAACATTGTCCGCAGCCGCCTCATGGGCAATTGTGCCTAACCCGGTGTCCGGTCCTGGAGTTTACCCCGAAGCCGCCGACTTCCTTTTCAAGACCACTTCGAGTCCAAAGTATACAGCAAAGGGTTTCAAGACGATGATCAACTTGCCAATCGTCCTTCCCAGTGGACTGTGCCAAAGGAACACTTATTATTTCAACAACGCTACTGCTTTGCCAGTGTTTAGGAATGGACAGGTTACCTTGGGTCCTGGAGCTTCTGGAACGAGTCCCACATCAGGCGTATTGCAGCAGGCAAGCCCTGATGGAAGTGGTGTGTATGAAAATGTCGATGGATATGGAGCTTGTGCTCAGAATGTTGGCAATAATCCGCAAGACTGCGAGACTGCTGCCAAGACTGTTGATCCGGCATCTTTGCAATAAGCCTCTGAATGGTGGCGTACAGAGAGACGCCCCAACAACACGTTCGATGTGGCATGTGTGCATGCAGATATATAGTATCGTGATGAACTTGCACGAGAGCCGTTTTATCTTGCTTCCACGCCCTTGCCCATGCCATGTCAGTCACCAAGCTTCCTCCTCCTTCAGTGATGCATCCAGATGAACATTGAGCATTTGTCCTTGAGAGGCATGAGAACGAAGCTTTCGGTCTCAGTGCACAGACGACCAAGGCGCCGCCAAACCTGATCCATTGGCCAGCCAAGCTGGTGGTCTGCGCACTGAGACTACGCATGACTGCAGCTAGACTCGGAGGCATTTCATTCCACGGACGCTCAAGAACCAATGACCAAGATCTCCTTATTGGAACACCACAGCCTGATCTGTCTATTTGTTGACGTCCGTGGAGCGTGCCTCACAGATGGCAGATTGGCGTGCGGGCGACTACTACACGCAGCTCCGCGCGGCACCCGTGGACGTAAAGGAGCTACAGTACTTCCAGTCGCAGCCATCAACAAAGCCATGGCTAGAGCACACCGACTACAGCCCGATAGCCAGTCCAGTACGGGCACCGCGAGGCGACGGAGAGGACGAATTTCTGGGACGAGTCGTCCACACCGATGACACAATCCGGCATTGGCTAGCAGTAATTTCCAACAAAGCCTTCCCACCCCCAGGATCCGAGAAATCTGGTGGTTTGCAAAAAGACGCAGGAACCGAGAAACCAGACTTCATGTTACTCTGTGATCTTCAATATGGCGTTAACGGTTTCCGTGGAATTGCGCATGGCGGCTTTCTTTGCTCGTTGATAGACGAGGCGTTGGCGCAGGTCGTGGAGCTTCATCGACACAGTAGTGACTCGCCTTCGCGCGAATATCTCTACACGGCTAATTTGAATGTGAATTTTCGGCGACCGGTTGCGACGCCTAATGTTATCATCATCAAGGGCTGGCTTGAAAAGAAACAAGGCAGGAAATGGACTGTTAGAGGAGTGCTCGAGAATGGTAGGGGAGAAGGATGTATTGATGTTGATGGGCTGTGGATTGCCGCTCGTCCTGGAAAGATTTAGAAGCTGGAGTGGGCAAGATGTTCGAAGCGAATATGACATAGTGCCTTGGATCAGAGTCCTGAAGGGTTCATTCAATATGTAGGCAACGAGAAGATGCGGACGTATCGATTGCCCTTGACGCTCGTTTAGCCCTGTTTGCAGTATTTGTCACTGGCAAAATGCTCGATACCAGTCACATCCATGATGATTGCTCCTGTCACAATGTAAGAAGATCGATGTTCATTGCTCGATGCTGTTGTCTTTAGCATAGTGAGCACATAAGTTGATTGGCACCTCGCAGCACCGCACGGAGCGAACGCTGCGTTGCCGCCGACCTACAAAGCTGAGATTTATGAGGCATAGACGCACTCGTACAGCCAGGACCAAACATGGCCGGTCAGCTGAGGAGATGAAGTTCGGCGAAGCTCTTTTTCAATCGTCACTTGCACGCTAAACTGCGGATATTCGGGGAGACTGTCGTATGTAGTAGCCTGAAAGCAATTCCGAGCAAGGGCCAAAGTCGTTAATAGAATTCAAGCCCGAAAGGCAATACATTACAAATAGAGGCTCAAATAGCCTGCAGACGTGCTGCGACGTTTATCTGCCACCACTGTTGCCAATCCACAACTTTCTTCTCTCGCCGAGCTTCCTCGGCTGCGAAGACAGCAGCATGTGAACGAATAATCTCTTCCATGGTACAACCCATATATTCCACTTGAGCTTCATTAACATCCATGCTGCCGCCTTTACAGGCGATGATTGCCTTGACGAATTGCTGTGTCAAGCCATCATCACCGCCGCCGTGGTGACTATTCTTAGGCACCTCGGGATTGTAAGTGTTTGTTGTATCGTTCGTAAAGTCGTGAACCGTTATACTTCTGCTATCATAGCAGATCTCGCCCGATGTACCGTATATCCGTCCGCGGCGCTCACATTGCGCCAGCGTCTGCGCGATCATATGAAAGGAAGCTGTCTTAGATCCGCGACCATCGGCATCGTCGTCCCACTCCAGGGTAACGTACTGATCATCGCAGACATCGTTGTCGCTCTCCCAGACACAACGTCCATACCATGAGCGTCCCTCGATGTCTGCATGCGATTGCCTCGTAGACTTGACGTCGTAGTCTTCTGCAAGGGTTTCCAACAAAGTCTGTTTTGCTTTTTCAGGTCCTGACTCGTTCAGAATAGTCTCAACTTCGGGGTTCACGATGTCAATAGGCCATTTTGCGTTCCCCTTCGCAAGCACCTTGTCGTTGTAAATTCGCAAAGCCGAGTACTGGCAGCTATCTTTGATTGGACAAGACAGACAATTTGTAGCTTGACCTGCTTCACGGGGCTTCTGACTTCGGCGGAACTGCTTCAACGAGCCACTGGAAGTAAGTCGAGCAGGAAGATGTGCTTGCTGCCCGTCGCCGGTTACCGGAGAGCAGAGCATCCACAGAATGAAATCAATATCATGGCAGCTCTTGGTTAGGAGGCTAGGAGCTGTGGTAGACTCCTTTCTCCAATTGCCGCGGACGTAAGAGTGACTGAAATGCCACCAACCGACTGGCTCTGTATGTTCGATCGACAGAACGTCGCCAATCACGCGCCGCTCTCGAACGAGGTGCCTCAGCAACATGTTGTGAGGACTGTAACGTAAGACATGACCGATGGCGAAGATACGCTTCGGAGCGGCAAGCAGAGCCTTCTCAATTCGCAGACAGTCGTCCAGGGAGGTGGCCAGAGGCTTTTCGCTCATGATATGAAGGCCGAGTGGTGCAACAGCGGCGAGGACTTCCATGTGGTGCTCATCGCGAACGCAGATGAAGACGCCATCAATGCCTGCCGGCACAGATATGCCTGCTGCTTCGTCCTTCCGCCTTTGCTGTTCATATTTGACGAACTGCGTCCAGCTGGCGAATTCCTGTTCAGGAGAAGGCTTGCCACCGGGCCATATGTATCTGGAGCCGAGCAATCCACGCTTGAAGTCGATGGGTTCTGCGATGGCAGCAACGGTGCCAAGGCCAGAGTCTACAGTTGCTCTTGCATATGCATGGCCCCGACTTCCTGCTCCTACGATAAGGAGACGCGGCTTGGGAGAAGTTCCAAAGCCTTCATCGTTCGTCAAAGGAGCCATGTCTACTGCAGAGCGACGACGAGGACGCTGGTAAATGGAGGATGGAGCTGAAGTGCATGGCGACGAAGAAATCCCCACGAATTGGAGTCGTGCAAATGGTAAGGTGCAATGTGACGCTGGGTATTCTAAGCAACCAGAGCGGTGGCCTTATGCTTCCTGCGACCATCGGGGCTCAATTGCTTCCTCAGGCACGCACACATCCTTCTCGCGTCGCGACAACCGAGGCTTTCACAATTGTTTCCCGGCCGAGGGCAATGCGCATTGCTCTTCCGACATTCCATAGACGACTACAGTAAGTTCGTCAGCTACACTCTCGCAAGTCGCCAGTTCATCGTCTCGCAATCAATCTATTCCCATACCACATCAGCCATGTCCCCACAACTCAACTACCCACAGGGTATGTTCAAAGGCCAAACAGCCATCATCACTGGATCTGGTCAAGGAATCGGAGCAGAATGCGCGAGACTCTTTGCAAATGAAGGCGCACTTGTCGTCGTGTCAGACATTGACAAAGGTATGGGCGGAGCTGAGCATGGGCAAATGCGCATCATGTCTGACAGAACCCAGAGAAATCGCAGGCCGTAGCAGACAAGATCAACCAGAGCGGCGGCAAGGCCATCTCCATCCCAGGTGACATCATGAACGATCAGTACATCAAGGAGCTAGTGAAGAAGTCGGCAGAGTTTGGCGGCGGCAAGATTCACTTCATCGTCAACAATGTATGGAAGCATCCCCATCCAGTATGAGATAATGGCTGACCTTGACGCGATTGCGTTTAGGCGGGCTTCACCTGGGATGGCGTGATTCACAAGACCACTGACAAGCAATGGGACACAATCGTCAACCTCCATGGCACCGCACCATTCAAGTTGGTCCGAACCGCCGCACCATACTTCCGGGTCAAAGATGGCGAGCCACGTTGTATCGTCAACATCTCGTCCACCTCTGGTATACATGGCAATGCCGGACAAGCGAATTACGCCTTTGCAAAGGCAGGGGTAACAGGTCTGAGCAAAGCTATTGCTAAAGAGTGGGGTCCACAATTCGGAGTGAGGTGCAACACAGTTGCATTTGGGCATATTCAGACTCGTCTCACAGCCGCGAAAGAGGAGGGTGCCTTTGTGACAACACCTGATGGCGAAAAGGTTGCTCTGGGCATACCACAGAAGCAGAAAGATTCTAGTGCAAGCTATGCGGATATCCCCCTGCGAAGGCCGGGCACGGCTACAGAGGCAGCAAGTGCAGTTATGGCTGTCTGCAGTCCACTTTTCAGCTACGTCAATGGACAAACTATCAGTGTTACTGGAGGCCGGAACATGTAGAGATAGATACACGCACCTAGATATGCTATTCAGTCATGTGTTTGATCCAATCCCCCTTCAAGGTAGAAGGCGTCCGACATTTTGAACCGGATGCTCAAATGCCACAAATCGTAATGCCCAGATCAATATCCACGATTGCCACCCCGGTTACAAGAGCATCTTAGCCTGCTTCAGCGGATCCAGACATCGATTGAGAAGGATCATTGATTCGCATATATTCTTCAATTGGCTATGGCAAGCTTCGCCTCCAAAAACTGCGCTGCAGCAGGGACGAATTGCTCGTACTCGAAATGAGCCTGAGTAACATTCAGTGTGCCATAACACACCTGATCGCCCTCATTGCAATAAACCAGCGCTCGATCAGTCGAGAAACTCGGAATTCTGCCGGAATTCTGCGAATTCCTAGTGTAACCAAAGAGAACGACACCGGCGATCTGTTCTTGCACTGCTGCCTCAAGAACACTTATTGATGCAGCCATGACGGCTGTACCTTGCCTGTAGGGTGTCAGCAGCATATTCTAGAAGGCTTCGAGGGAGCCGTACGAATATCCGCCGGCAACGACTTGAGTATCCGGACATTTGGTGCTAGCAAGATCGAAAAGTCTGAGTGCCTCGTCGATTGCGCCTTGAGATGTTCCCAAAGGATAGGTGTTTGAGATGAGGTCTGCTGCGTAGGCACCTCCTACGCCCTGGCATGCGACGTTTTCCTCATCATAATCTGCTTTCAGATCTTCGCATAGTAAGGGCCCGAGGCTGCCGCCCTGCAAGGGGTGTTGAGCAGATTCGTGGACGATTGCATGTTACCTCGATTGCACTGCATACCATGTTCCCTGTCTCTGTCGAGGCTCGAGCCCAAATGAATGTGATATCCCGGCAAGGACAATCCTCTAGCTCCGTCTTGTTGATGTCGACTGTTGCTCTCGGCAGGATCGCATTTGCTGGCAAAGCGATTGCGTTCGAAGCCAGGAGGCCCAGGAAAAGGGAACCGAACATCGTCGCAAGGAAGAAATCGAAGCTCCAGTCTGATGGAGCAATCTCTTACCTCCACACAAGGTAGGAGCACAAGGCCTACTCTTATAAGATCAAGCTTCACGATTGAACAGCCGCAATTCGGAGCGGAGACCTTCAACGACTGCGTCCTTCCCATAGTCTGCTGTCTCGACCAAGCTTTGATCACAGGCTCGCTGGCAATGCAACTTCCCGAAGCAGAAATCGCACTCGACAAATTTTCGGCAGACTCTGTTCGAGAAAGCTGAATGGCGCCGATACGAGGACGATCTAGCGAACGTACCGGAATTTGTTGTCGCTACCTGAGAATACTGTATGTTCAGAGCATCGGTGAGTCTGCCAGCAAAGAACCTAAGTCTGGCACCTGGGCGTTGCCACGTGGTCGACAGGGATAATCGTGCAGACTCCACTCCTTTGATGCACACATAATCGATTCGGCGCTCGGGCATATGTCAACATTCGGCAGGTAATACATTATCCTGGTCAGCCGAAGAGGGTCTGTTCTGATATCATGCCACGGCCATCCTTATTCCAACCACCTCTTGTCTGGCGTCTCGAAGAATGGAGGATCGATACCGATGAAGCTTGGCCAGAAATCGATTTCGAGTCTCCAGGGAGCAGTATACAAGGCGAAGACAGTTGCTGTCACCATTTCCTCCATTCCGTCTTGGTCTTGGCCCATCACAAGAATGATGTCTCTCTTCAACTTGATATTGGCGTCGAGTTGAGATGGCCATTGCCTTTTTCAACCTGAGTCTGATGGTCTCCTGCATATTCCATTCCCCGCGATGGACTTCCTTCGGGTAGAACTTCCACTGCCAGAAATCATAGTCCTCGAAGCACCACGCAAGTCGACTTTCGTGACCGACCATCAATGGCCAGAAATGAGAATGGCTCCAAACGCGGAGTAGAGTGAAACGCGAAGAGGCGTGCTTCGCATGGTGATCTCTGGCCAAACTCAAGAGATCTAACCGTCTCCAGTCCACAGCACCATCGGGCACAAAGATTCTGCCTGAAATACGATAGTCGATGAAGAGAGTCTCCTTTGCGGTCATAGGATCCGTTCCTGCAATGGCTCGGCCGATCGCACCTTGGTAGTCTGCGTCGAAAAAAGGAGCGATGATACCGGCCGTGTACAGTCGCGCGAGGAGTGGTCGAGTGATCGCAGCATACCAAATTTTTCGTTTTGTATACCATGGTCATTCGATCTATGCGAGAGGTCTTTTACTCTGCCACGTTCGTTCCCGCATTCATCATCATGTCTCCAAACAACTCATGTAAGTTCTCGGCTTTACTCGTCACTCCCCCAGCCAAATCCATCTTCTCCAACAACTCATCAATCGACTCTTGATTGCTTTGCTGGCCTGAACACCGATAGAAGAATCGCTCGCCATGTTGATGCAGAGCATTATGGTCCTTGCCTTGCTGGTCGCAGCGGCAGAGGTCAAGGAAATTGACCGCGCGCTTTATCCACTGGCGCACAAAGGCAGCAATACCTGGCGGGAGAAGATGCAAGCCCTCATCGCCGCCGAGAGCGGATGTAGCCTCGTCAAGCAGAAATGCAAGCAGATCCCCAACAGTGCTCGCCTCTGGCTGGCTAGGTCCATTGAAGCGCAACTTGAAACGTGTCGCAAGCTTCCTGGCGTGGTAGGAATTTGCAAAGCACATCGATCGGGGAATGATCGATTTAGGCGCTTTGAGTGAATCCAAGGTCGCGTCCAAGGCCAGCAAGATCGTCGAGTGCGTGAAAGTCACGACACTCTGCTTGTTGATGCAAATGTCTAATTTCTTCCAAAGAAGGTTCCGCTTGAGGAAGTTGGCCCGGCAAACATCAATCTCATGCTTGATGGCAATCTCGCGCATGTCTTGGTCAGTCAAGATCTCCGAATCACAGAAGCATTTGCTTGCCAGGCATTCGTTGGCAGTCATAATTTTCAGACCTGCCAAGTTGATTGGGGAAATGTGGCCGCATGGCAACACGGCTTTGACCACACCTTTACCAGACAGGTCGACGAAGGTATTACTGGAGGCCAGACGATCGTTAAGCAAATCGCCAGGAGTGCGTTTTATAGCAGATGCCCATTCTGCGTCCCAATCCAGAGCTTCTGCTTCGAGATCAGCATCTGGATAGGCTTTCTGCAGGTTGTCCCACACATGGTAGAAGGCCATATCGGACTCGCGGCAGATCAGGTGCTCAAGCATGCGAATCCACTTGTAAGTGCCCGCGAGTCTGAGCAATACAGCTTGTTGGACAGAAGTCAGCTCGAAGCGCTGCTTGAATTCCATCGCACCGCTATGGTAGGTGACCAAGTACCTCCAAACAACGGCTCCTTTGCTGCTATCAAACGCTGCCACGAATCGTAATGACGACGATCCTTGGACCGTACAGAGGTTTTCGACAGCAGTGATTAGGCCTGTGTGCGAATCAGGAGTTACGAGTCGTTGCTGTCGGGTCTCGGGCGGTAGGAGAACGTAGAAGTTGGTGCTGAAAGCATCGCGTAGCTGGTGATCCTGAGGTGGTTGGTCGCGATATGCCACGTCCTTTGGCACTTCCAAGATCGGAAATTGAGCACTTGCAGGTAGGAGCTCGCATGCTGGGTAATGGAAGTTCAAGACATGCGGTGTTTCTGTATCCATAGCGCTCACAATAGCTTGGACGTTCAGGATGGTATGATGCGTTACCAGCCAGATGCAGATCGAGCAGTGGTGAAGTCGGAAGGTAAGGTAGGTTTGGAAGAGGAGTGACCAACCAAGACTTGAAGGGGAAGAGTGCTTAGAAAGTGAATTGGGATAAATGTCGTAGCAGGTGAATGCCAAGGAGAGCAACAAGTCCTCTAGGTCGAGGTGAACAAAGCCATTGTTGTCCGATTATCGGGCCAGTTTTGTAAGAAGAAATAGAGCGTGCCTAAAGCAGGTTTACAGTGCTGCCGACTGTATCTGGGTCGAGGGTGATGTGCACCGATGATGTTCAGGCGGATATAGAATTCGCTCGGAAGGTGTATTAGGTCACATTATCGTTAGACACCTCTAGAGCTCCTCGATATCGTCAGTCCAGCTTAACAGATTCTGGAGAGTAGGGCGACAGACTGTTGGACCAACTTTTGTCCTCTAGGGCAAGAAGGCAGGATTAGAATCGACGTGACAGTCATTTTTGAAGCTTAATAAGTGGTGGCTAAGTGGGCGATGACGGGAGCGGTGACTCCGGGACTATAGCCAATATTGACAGAATGCACCGTGATCTGATGGAACGTAGTGAGTCCGGCATACGGCCCAAGATGCCGTTTCCTGGTTACAAGATGGTGATGGTTATCGAGAGCGGTTTAGTACTTAGTTGCAGATGCGCGGGAGTTTGCGGCACAAGCGTATGGTGATTATTTGACGGCACTTCCGCATGTATAAAGGGTATGAGTTGCAAGGTCCATGAAGTTACTCAGGAATACCAGATGGTGGAAGTGGTAATGTCATATTCCTGGCCGCGGAGGTGCACAAGCAAAGTTTAGGCCACTGCCAGTTAGCGAACCTCTTCACAGACATCAAGCAGCGGAAGACAACGAGATCAGTTTCATCTCTAAGTACCATCTACCACCAGCCCAAGATGCCACCAAAGACCATCAGAGGAGGCAAAATCGTCGCCCAGCAGCCACAACGAGGCAACATTGTAAAAGAGACGTACAACGCCATCACAGACCCCGAGAACCGAAGCGTAGTAACTGCTCTGGCATTTTTCGTGGTATGCGACCCATCAACAGCTGGGAAGCAATAGTCACTAAGTACTGCAACAGGGCGGTGTCGCATTTCTGCATAGCAGCTGGAGCGAAATTCTGCTTCCGCCGTGAGACATGCAGTGATGAACGTGCGGGCAGATTTGAGGCTGACTTTGCGACAGGATCTAAGTACTTAGCCCCAGCATCTCGCGATTACGACTATGAGTGTACACCAAGAGAGGGAAGATGGACGTGTATGATACGAGGATGTTGCATTCCTGGTGTGAATGGCGCAGAAAAGGTTTCGAGTAGGGAAACGCATTGCCATGATGGGCGGAAGTGCAGAAAGGAGCTACCGGTATTGCGTCTACTGGTTAGCCGAGAGAGCAAGGCGGAACGAGTATTGCTTGAACGATCCTTTTCACCTGTTGAGGCTAAACGCCGTGATACACGGGAGGCAAGCCTGATTTTCCAAAGCCTTTGAAAATACTACGAGTGAGACCTTGAACCACGACCCCAGATGCCCATGGTTGGTGCATTCGTGGGCTCTGTCGCGACGACTTGAAGGAACATGGGTCGAAGTAGCCAAACACTTCTATGAACGTTACATTACACTGATATACACATGATGTGCTGTCGCGCGCCATACACCCACACTCATGCTCCAGCCACGCTCTCCGGCACAGCGAAATCCTCCTGCTGCAACTTCGCGTCGGCACTCGTAGAGGCATACACCCTCTTATCTCCATAGAACTTGTACGTGTTGTGCTCCTCGAGGTTCTTCACAGTATACCGCACCTTCAGCAGGTTGGTGGCTTTGTCGATGTACGCCGCCACCTCTTGCGTCTCGCTGGGAGCTCCGTCACATTTCTTGTAGTCCTGGTTCTCATCCAGGCCGCCTGAGCATGTTACCGGGGTTTGGAGTTCGGGGTGGTTCTTGTATTCTCCTTCAACGGTCACGTTGAAGGACCAGTGGCAGCCTGCCGAGCAGCCGTAGACGAACTTTGTGACGTCGTATTGGGAATTGACTGGTGGTGCGACGTCTTCGAATGGGGAGGCTGAGGCAAGGGTTGAGGCCGCGACGGCGAGGATGGTGGCTGTGCGCATCTTGAAGTATATGTTGTGATAGTGCACTGCTTCTTCGGCTGTCGCAAAATGGTTTCTGTGGTGTGCGAATCGTCTGCGAATGCCTGGTGTTAATGGTGAACTCTGCCTATCTTCTGTAAGCTGACTCCTTATGTGCGGCTCTGATACGGGGTGCAATCTCCCGGCCTGCACATTTTGGACGCAGAAGGGGAAATGTCGAAGTTGGCTGTATACAGACCCCAGCAGTCTGCAGGCCATCATGGGGTGTTCTCACAAGCATCTTGAAGGAAGGCAGGGACGCTAGTGGCTTGGCAACAAGGAGCTCAGACTCCTGGACTCCCTATCAGCGGTAGCACAGCCCTTCTCACACTTTCGACTTCTAGCAGACAGGCGGACTTCAGCAGCAGCTTTTCGACCATCGACCACAGCTGTTGAATCATGAACTTCCACAGTCCAAAGCACAAGTGTGGCGGAAAGGAAGTTTGTCGGCGAAGATGGCAGACAGCAGCATCTTGGAAGCGATGCCAAGATCATTCCGATGCTGGCCCTCCTCATACAGCAAGCAGATAAAATAGCTGGCACGTGCGTTCAGAAAACCAAGCAGAGCGCTCCGACCTCTGTCACCCCGCACAACACGACGATTGAGTCCGCTGATGCCGGGCGTAATCGACTTGATTTGACTTCACGCATTTCTCGGCCAGCTTCAGCGATGTCACGTGATCACGCCTGGAAGGCAAGCTCTGGAGCCTCGCCGACGAAGTGTGCCCATGGACGCTGAAAGAAGTACGACACTCGCCTTCAGCATTGAACAAGTACGACGACGTATTCGAAGCTGTCGGCACACACCGGTCCCATCCCCTTCCGGTGCCTCTGCAACGAGCGCGACCAGTCAACCCGTCCATATTATATGTCCGTTTGCATATGGGCGTAGAACATGAAGTGCCGCTGAAGCAGTGTGATACATGCAATCGGCTTTTCGACAGGATCGATGGCACCGTGACAAGTGCTGTGTCCAGCTCAATGGGAATAATTGCGGAGCTGGGTTTGAAATTGTTGCCCGACCAAGACTTCAAGATTGCTAGAGGAAACAACGAACAGTTCGAACAGTTCATGGAAGCCTTGGTACTTGGCCAGCTTCCTCGAAAAAATCGACGTTCATGTGCTAGATTGGTCGGGAACCCAGTAGAATTCAGCCTCATCATAGAATGGGGGTAAAAGAACTCGATTCCAACGTCTCGCACAGTGCACAGTGCGTCCATGGTATAGCTGGGATTGGAGATTAGACACCTCAAATTTCATGTCTCTAATCATTTGCGGCACTCCCACTCAACATGTATCTTCATCTCCAGATCGTTCTGTTCCTTACACTGTCTCGCCAATACTTTCTTCATTCTGCGCAGACTAGGACGTCCAAGTTGGTTATCTCGAATAATGCGGCAGTCGACCTTTGGTCCTTCGATTTTCGTGATCGTTTCAAAGGCCAATTCTTTGATCCGCATGCTACGTAAAGGCGTAGGCATGTATCGCTCGACCAAGCAGAAGAGATCCTCTACCAACGCACAGTCCTCCATCGCGAAATATGTCGGAGGACCTACGTCCATGCCCCAGTCGATGAGAATCTCTGCATTCTCGAAGATGTTCGCCGAAGCCTGCCCCGAAGCATTTCCCGAGCTACCATCCTCCAACGCATTACTCATGAGATTATTCTGCTCCAGCTCTTTAGGGGTTGATTGATGCGCAGGGATTGCAGCAGGATGTTGTATAACGGATATGCTCTCAGTATAATCTGCGGCGGTGCCATTGGTCGAAGGCGATGGTCCCATAGCCTGAAGAGTCGCAGAGGCAAGCAATGCGGAATCGAGGCCAGCAGAAGTCGTTGGACGAACTGAGCTGGCATAACTACTGGTCTTCAAAGGACCTGAGACGGCCGTGAACAGTTCAGAGACCCTAGCATCGAGGTCGGACAATTTTGGAGCTGGTTTTGGTGTCTCAGATCGATACAGATGGCGGGTAGGGGTCGTGTCGTGTCCTGAGCCGCTCTGAAGTGGTTTGGTCAGCGCATCGTTGGAAGGGCCCTGTTGGTCGCGCTCGCATTGTTGACTCCCGCAAGATAAAGGTACAGGTATGACGCCTTCGAAGTCGTCGCTCAACTCAGTCGTTGGGATAGTAGATTGTGTCGAACCACATTTTGGTTGATCTCCGTGATCTGTGGAAGTGGCATTCGCAGAGATGGGCGTTTCATTTCTCTTGTGAGTAGAAGCAGCAGTCTGGCGAAGAGAGCTGAGTTTATTTGGGGAATTGATATTCACTTTCTCCAACGGGGTGTATTGCTGTGAAACGAAAGCCAGCTTTGCAGGTGGGATGAACAAGGTGACCATGAGCGTTGAAGAGGTTGACTTAATGCCTGAGACGGCATGCTCAGCACGAGTGCGCTTGGTCTGTGGTGCTTGGTCCGCGGCAGAGCTTTGTCGTTTGCGACGCGACGCGCTTCTGCCATCCAAACGCTGTAGGAATGCCGACGATGCTCGCGAGGACCGTAAGCCTCGCGATCGCTGTGGGAGTTTGATCTCAATGTCTTCCGAATCTGACTCCGAAGGACCAGTACTCTCCTCAACATCCGACTGTTGCGAAGTACATGAGCTGAAATCGCTCACCTCTGAGGACTCAAGTCTTGAACGAATGCTCGTGCTTGATGATTTGCCACGTGCATGGGGTGTCCAGTCGGGCAGCGGCCCCCTGGGCTTCACCATGCCATTCCGAACATTCGAAACTCGCCTGACGACTTTCTGTTTGATCCATTTGTGAAATAATTCTTCCAACCTTGGGGCTTATGTCAGTGGGAATGATCAACATGAAGGCAATCAAAGCTCAAGACTCACAAAGTTCTGTCCTCTGGTACGGAGTAGAAGAGATTCCGCGTGTAGAAGCCCTCCAGATCGTTGTCGCGAGCATTTGCAAGATAGTCGAACCTGCCGTTGGAATCAGACCACAGTCGCGGACCCAAATCTGCATATGCTCTGTCAAGATCTTGCCTCAGAGGCACTGACAAAGCGACTATGTTGCTGGGTAAAGTTGAATACTCGTCAACGATACGCTCAATCTCAACCTGCAGGTCTCTAAGCGGGCCTTCATGAGCACATCTCTTCTTTGTTGGGGACTCAAAGAAGCCCAGTTGTCGTTCCAAGTCGCGATTTGTGATTCTAGCCATAGTGAGTGGTGTTGGAGTTCCAGTAGATCCAAGCGTGTTCGTAACGATGTCGAGCAAGAGACTGCTGAGTCCTACTAGATTCCCAGGTGAGCCATGCACCATGCTCCACTTGATGACTGGCGATGGCAGGAATGGACTCGCGCAGCAAGCGTTGCATCTATGACCCAGTCTAGTTCCACATCGAGCGCCTCTAGCGACGTGGAAGTATGCAGGTCTAGGAAGGCTCGTTTCCTTTAAGTCACCGCGAGCGGTAAAGCGTGTCGAAAGCAAACACGACGTGTTCTGCGTTCGCATCTCTAAGAGCAGGTCTGCGCGTATCCATCCCCCAAACGAAGTCCGTGGTTAAGTCCGTAGAACTGCTGTATAAGATCTAGGGGATCTGGTTGGTCGAATCCGCTTTGCATAAGTTAGCATAGACGTGTTTTGTATAAGAACTCCACCAGAATCCTAGTTTTGCCGACGAACGCTCCGAGGCAACGAGTTTTTACAGGGGATAGAATTCAGATAGCTCTCATCACGGCCCTCTATTGAGTCGCAGACAGTCGCCGTGATCCCTGCCACGGTGCCACCACAGCTTCTGTCGTGATCAACAGCGATCTCCCCCATCCTACAGCCGGGGAAAAACGACTAGGAAATCGTAGATAGAACATGCTTCAGTTGATCGTTTGCATATCCGATCTCGTTCACCGTCTTAGTTTGCACGCGGCCCAAGACTTTGCGTGACTTCATTGCTTATCATTGTAGCGGCTATGACTGCCTAAGTCAGGCTCATTCGCATTGCGGCCTAGAGGTAATTGTCCAGTAGTAGCTGTTGGTCAAGCTGTAGATGAAATGGAAAGGCAGAAAGAGAAAGGATGGCGCAGCTGGGGATATTCTAGTCCAGATCAAGACTTGGCGCTTGAAGTGGGTCCTATCCATTGAAGGCTTAACACAGTGCTCCTTTATCGAAGTTCTACTTTGTCTTCGTCTTATCAACTCCTTGAGCAGCAAAGCGGCATACTGCCTCTCTTCAAGCACAGATCGATGAGATCTTAGCCAATCCGACCGAGTTGAAGTTGATGCTAGACCACAATGCCCTTGCATGGCTGTGAACTCTCCGTTCCGCCTCACTGAGTTACATCCATAGACAGCGGAATTGCCCTTGTGAAGGGGCCTATGGACAATTCGCCCATTGCAACCAGCCGGCGATCTTCAGTTCCTAGCTCTACTCTATGTCGACACCCTACCGTAATTTGGAGATGCGTTGAAATCTACAACATCCACACCTTTATCGACTCTTCCAACGGACGTCCAGACGGTCGCTCTGACTTGGAATTCAGTATACAATGAACACTGGACATTCAACGACGGATGGGGGCCATTGTCAATCAAATTCTTGCGTCACTCCTCTCAAACACTGTCTTTCAAGTCGAAGCATATGATAGATATGTATACTACAAAAACAGTTCGGTTGAGGCACTAACGAAGCATTCTGATAATGAAGCAAATAGGGTCAAACTCCATCGCATAATAAGCCGAATGCCTGTCACTCATATAAGCACTCTCTCTCACGCGAAACTCTGGGGAAGCAGTCCGAACTCTCCATCACGATCCAGAAATAGCCAAAGTCTAATAAATCCATGTCAAAGTTTGGAAAAGCACACTCAAATGAAAAATGCCTTCCGTGGATCACCGAGGGAGTCAAACACATGGCGTCTCGCGAACAAAGCCGACAGAATCTGATGAGACGCTCGCGCGTGAAATAATCCTACACACTACTGTAGCAAGGAAACGATGAAGCTTCGCTCACTGATTCGTCAGAGCCTCACCTGTACAGTGTCACCATGCTACGCGCAGTCAAGTCCCTCACCAAGATTCATCTGCATCAGAGACGCTCCAAACTGGGTACCACGACTTCTACTCAACGCGATCATACCCTACGCACTGCCAGAGGAACTCTGATTGGGATCGAGGTTCGAGATGCCGGCGCTGGTCCTCCCATATATCGTCGCTACACGCGCATACGGTACGCGCTCCCGCCGACGGGTGACCGCCGATGGAAGAAGCCAGAGCCGCTGCCGGAAGATTGGATCTTCTCGGATGGCAATAACCATCCAAGAGATTACAGGTCATTTGGAGCGATATGTCCGCAGCATGCCATGGGCCCAATCGAAGGCAAGACGAGGCTTTGGGAAGACGTGGTCTGCAATCTCCTCGACGAGGACTGCTTATTTCTCAACATTTGGGTACCGGTAGGAGTGGGAAAGCCGGTCGGGGGCTGGCCGGTACAGTTCGACTTTCCTGGTGGAGGCTGGCAGTGTGGACATGGCATGCAGCAAAACTTCCTCGACCCGATCGATGTGTTCCGCGAAAGCAGAGACTGCCCTCGCATCGTGGTATCTGCCAATGCTCGGGTTGGCCTATTCGGCTTCCTGGCAAGCGAGGACTTGGTCGACGATGGCTGGAATGAATCGCTCGGCGTCAGCGATTCTGCAGGCAATTTCGGGCTCTGGGATCTTCGAATGGCGCTGGAGTGGACCCACGAGAATATTCACTTGTTCGGAGGAAACGCCAAGAATATTACTGCCGGTGGCTATGGCCCAATGACTGCTTTCCAGGTTCACTTTGACGCGTATCAGCCACCTGACAAGCGCATCATTCGTCGATCCTACATGTTTAGCGGAGCTGTGAGCGTCCAGCCGGAATCTGCAGAGTCTCCGAAAACGCAGAAGCAATTGGATGAGATCTGCGAGCAGCTCATGATCGATCGCAACCTGCCTGCACGAGATAAGATGCGTTTGCTCAGAGGTGTGTCGAGCGACAAGCTGATGGAGGTCATCAAAATTCTTGAGCCGGAGTTTAAGCCAGTGACAGACGGACAAGGCGGCTTCGTGCCTGCATGGATGATGCAGTCTTTGTGGAGCGGAGAGTTCGGCAGGCGATTGAAGCAAAGAGGGTTTCAGCTGGTCATTGGAGATCCGAGCGATGAGAAGGCGATATACGACCACTGGGCTCGCAGTCGGTACCGGACGGCAAGGGTGATCAATAGTCGCGACGCTTTGATGGCTAAGCTCAAGACACTGTATCCTGATGATATATGCCAGCTGCTACTCAAGAAATATGCCAACAGCATTATGGACTGGGGCTCAATGTACTGCGAGATCATCGCTGACGTGCAATGTCATGCTGCTGTACGCGGATGGGCTCAGTGCTTGTTTTATGGAGGCATGACCACACACGATGTTTTCAGGTACCACATCGCATGGCGACCAAAAGGCTTCGACGAGTATATCAATCCAGGCACTGGAATCTCGCACGTAATGGATGCGCCCATCTGGTGGTTTACGGGCTGGAGAGCTGGCTTCACGAGAAAAGACAAGCATGACGTTTTCGAATTTGTCACTCCATTTGGTCGGTTCCTGAAGGGCGACACATCCACCGAGATCGGCTGGTGCACTGAACAAGAGTTTGAGGTCCGTCTTTTGACCGCCGATGGTTCCGTCGCCACTGGCGAGGACCCCTTCTGGGTGAAGAAACTTGACATCTGGAGAGCGCTTCGTGACGTCCATCTCTGGCGAGGTACTACCAGAGAGGAGCACAAGAAAGGCACCAAGAACGACGTGATTGTCACCGAAGACTATCACAGCATGCTGACTCCGTAATATAACGCGGAAGCGGGATTGCGAGGTTTGAGTTCGTTTGAGGTCGACCAGGATCCTCCACCAGCTCCATGTCACTGATGTCAGTGCGTGGCGGTCAAAAAGCTCATCAAAGCTTTCCATATACTCCAAAGGTTACCAGGCTACGCTGCACCAACTGGGATTTCTGGCAGGAGCTAACTTTCGTGTGAATTGCGATAGTTTTCGGGTGTTGTTGGAGAGCGCCAGATTGAAATGACGACTCAACTTGGCATACACCAAAGTGGTCTTCCAACACAGCACTGCATGAACGCTCGACCTTCCGACGCCTCCTTACGGCCTTCCACCGGCTTTCCCGACGGACTGTCCTCTGTACGGCCGAGTGAACAGACACCAAGGTCGCAGCACAGTCACGACAACCGCTGAGCCGCAATGACACGGCTCGTCGACCAAGACCGGTCAGTGCCCATGAGAGATTTAAGAGTGTGCTGCGTCGGGCTACCGAAAACCGGAAACGCCAGCCTTCTGGACGCTCTGACCAAACTAGGCTATCGCGTATACCATGGATTCGATGCAGAGCACAGCGGACGAAGAGATATGGATCTATTGAACGAGGCACTGGAGATCAAGGCGAAAGGAGGAGCCGATGCGAGACCGTACCGCAGGAAAGAGTTCGATAAGATCTGGGGCGAATACAATGTGAGTATGGCAGTGTGCACGGTCGCTGCACAGTTTTGCTAAATCTGTCAGGCCATCATCGGTCTCCCGGGCTTCGCATTCGTCGATGAGCTGATCGAAGCATATCCGAATGCGCTCTTCATCCTCACCGAACGAAACGTCGACGACTGGCACCGCGATATGCAGGAGGATGTTTTTGCGGAAGTCGACTCGTGGTCACTGTTCTGCGAGTCCCTGTACGATTCTTGGCATGCACGACCATTCCAGCGTCTGCTCAACACGTGGTGCCAGATGTTCTGCCAGGGAAAGTTCGGAAACGGGGCGAAAGAGGCGTATATGGACCATGTGATGCATTGTAAGAAGGCAGTGCCGCCGGAGAGACTCCTCACGCTGAGGCTAGAGGACCAGGAGGGCTGGCAGCCACTGTGCAAATTCCTGAAGAAGAGGATCCCGAACGAGCCTTATCCTGACGGTGATGGCGAGCACGAGGGGAGGAGGAATTGAGCGAGCGGGGGTGGAAAAGTGTTTGACAAGCCATAGTCGTAATTCCTCGTGTGTCGATTGATTCCATGCTCGCTCGATCCGAGCAGGGATGTATGCTCCGTGACTCCGCGTGTGGAAGTGCTCGTGTTGTTTCCTAACCCAAGTGAACTACTGCAGTCCGCTCACGCCCCGTACAGATCTCGGCTTTCGGCACTATGCATGCATGCTTGTGCCCGACATTTCTCTTCCGTTGTTGTTGTTCCCGCCGGCCAAGCTCACGTATGTTATCCTCGAAACTACTAACTACTCCGCGTATCCTGTGCGAGCATCGTGGCCATGCGATCGCCACGCACGAACGAGACAACACCTGAATGAGCCTCTGCAGGCCCGTAATTTCTATGATCATCCCGAGGCAAGGAAGGCCATGCCAATGAAATTGGACGAGCCTCAGCATGCTGGACGGGTGCGTCGTGCAGCCACTGCCACTGCGCAACAGGCGGAGGAACGTCGCGTAGACACGCCCCAATCCTCCTCCGGCGTCGATCGCAGCACCCATGACTCTGGCTCGACCGAGAAGACATTATTCCCAGAACGAGCCTCCCATCGGCCTCGCTTACACTCGCGACAATGGAGCCATAGCAGTATCACCAGAAGGATATTGCATCCTCATGAGCACATTCACGAACTTCACTTCAAGGAACGCATCCGCCATTTCACATGGACGTGGTTCACTATGACTGTGAGGGACAATGTCTTGCTGGCCGAGAATGTGCTCGAATGCTGATCCATGTACATATACAGATGGCCACTGGAGGCGTGGCCAACACTCTTTACCAAGGTGGGTACACATATCCTCCAAATCCAACGCCGAGCCCTTCGCTGATCCCCTCTCTTCCAGTACCCTACCGTTTCCCCGGCTTGTACGCCATCGGCTGCTTCTTCTTCCTCTTCAACATATGCCTCTTCGTCTTCAACCTGACCATGATCTCCCTACGTTTCTACCACCACCCGTCGACCTTCAAGAACTCTCTCCTCCATCCCACCGAATCCCTCTTCATTCCAGCTTCCATCATCTCCATCGGGACAATCCTGCTCAATGTGAGCCAGTACGGACTCGACTATTCAGGCGACAGCAGGGCATGGCTGCTCAGCACCATGAATGTGCTGTTTTGGGTGTACTGTGGCCTGGCTGTCATCTTCAGTGCTGGCATTTATTTGATCCTGTCAGTTTTCCAAATCTTTCGAAGCGACGAGTCTCCGGCCAGAGCTAACAAAGTGCCTTCCTCTCAGCTGGTCGACACAGACTTTCACAGTCGCACAAATGACTCCAGTTTGGATCTTTCCTTGCTATCCTTTGCTGGTCATTGGTCCCCACGCTGCAACTTTGGCCAAACATCTCATGAATCGGAGCCTTTCCGCCTTACACATCATCGTCGGTGGTTTCGTATTCCAAGGCATCGGCTTCTTGCTTTCTCTCATGATCTACGCTTCATTCATCTACCGGCTCATGACACAAAAGCTTCCGCAAGAGACGTTGCGCCCTGGAATGTTCGTCTCTGTGGGTCCTTCAGGCTTCACGATTTCTGGCATAGTCGGCATGGGTAATACATTGCCAAATGTCGTTGGTAAGGACTTCATGGGCGAAGGGATTGGGGAGCTTGCAGGCCAAGTGAGCAAGATCGCCTCCGTCTGGTTCGGTCTTTGGCTGTGGGGCTTAGCAATGTGGTTCTTCCTCGTCAGCGCAGGAGCACATTGGTCTTGTGTTCGCGATCGCCGCATGACGTTTGCCATGACTTTCTACTCCTACGTCTTCCCGAATACCGCACTCACCACGGCGACGTTTGCCATCGCCAAAGCTCTCAACAGTCGGGTGATTAGGATCCTAGGATGCGCATTCACCATCATCATCATCTTCATTTGGCTTGGGGTGTTTGTGATGATGATCCGGGCAGTCAAGCACAAGGACATTCTGTGGCCGCAGAAGCAAGAAGATCGAGAGGAAGGAGGTTGGAAAAAGACCAGTGACGAGGCGAAAGCTTGTTTGGATCTTAGGCGATGTCAAACTGAGCAAGAAGAGGGCGTCACTGGTACGGATCCAACAAGTCTAGGAACCTATGCCACTCCGACTGTCGGACCCGGCGAGACGCCGACGCTGAAAGTGAACGGGAGTTTGATCGATCAAGAAACGAACGTACGTGGACGAGCTGAGAAGCAGAGAAATGATAGCATGGTATGACAACAACAACAACAGCAGGACCACCATGTAACGATGCAACAATGATGAGATGAAAAGACTCAAACGAATTCTCGGAGGAATTATCACGGCGGAGGAGTGAATGGCCGCCGCGTGGGCAAAAGACCGAAGAGATGTCATTCTGCATGCAGAAGGACTGCGGTGTACAAATGAAATGTCCAGTCTATTTACCACGCAAGTTACGACTTTCCTATATAGCGGCACAAAACCAAACGCTCCAAGTCTTAGAAAGAACGCTCATCATAAATCAATCAAACAGAAACCCTCATTCTAGTACTAAAGGCAAAAATCTGCTACATGTATGCTTTGGGGATCTGTTTCATATCGAACCCGCTTCCAGCAGGCTTGCACGTTGAGGCTAGTGGTTGTTCGCAAGCTCATCAGAGTCATGGTCGTTGTGTTCGTGTGCCCAGTGGTTGCTTGCTTCTTCTCCAGGACCCCATGTCCATCACCCGATAAGCTTTCTTTCCACGGCGCTTACACACGTGTGGTGCAAACTTTCGTCCAGCTCAGCTCTCAGTCGTTTCGACTTGTTGACGACGACAAAGTTGTTGAAAGATTCCATCTGCCGAAGTCCTATTCCGACCAATGTCGTTCCTCAATGCGTTCGAAATCTCCTTCGCATACAGGCTCGCGCTTGAAGACGTTCTTGAATGAAGACATGAAGCGTTTGACGAAGCCGGGAGAATCGGCGCCCTTGGTGTTCTGGAGATTTCCTCTGCTGCGAGGATACTCCTGCTGTCGAGATGCCATGGTACCCGGGAAGGCTGGCGCAGGTTTCACTTGTGGTTCGGCAATCGAGGTGGTGTGTTGGGCTTGCTTGTAGTCTGGCTCGTTGTGGAGAGGTTGCTGTGGTGGTGCATGCGCACGGTTGTTGACGAAAGCTGGGACTTGCGGTGCCGACTTTGGTCCTTGTGGAATCTTGATCGATTCGTAGGGTGATTTCGTTGGGGGTGCTGATATAGGAGCAGGCGGGATATAGACTCGCTCTCGGCTTGTATTCCACCCTACATCATTCTGCGGCGTCAGAAATCCGTTGGAATGTTGGCCACGCCCGATATCGTCTGTGTGCTGCGCAGCGTTCGCATCGAACGGCTCTTGATGTTTGACATCGCGCAAGGGTGATCTTGATCGTGTCATGGGCGGAACACGCACAAGAGTGTGTCCGTTTTGCTCCCAGGGTGGTAGTCTTGGGTGTTCGTGATGCCTCAACTCGTGGTATGCGGCATGGTCGTTACGCCATGTGTCAGGCACCGCGCGCTCCAAAGTGACAGCCATTTTGATAGATGCTCAATCTGCGAGAGTAGTCTGTGAGTGTTTTTGGAAGATGGCCGCGAGTAGGCCGCATCGCAGTACTAGACTTATCCTCCAGAGAGTTTCAGACCCAGAGGCGACCTGCAGAAGATCAGGCGCCGCAATGCTGGCCCCGAGCAGCGCACGTTAGGTAACGTTGCGTTCGAGCATCCCGGAGAAAGCAGGCATCATGATAGGGCTTAGCTAGGTGGTCAACACGGTATGTTCAGCAAGAACATGCGACCTGCTATATTTGATGAAATCGGCAGATGGAAGGGAACAATGGGGGGAACAAGCGCGTGCGAGGTCGTCTAAGTGATTGTTTTCACTGGATGATCTGGCTATCAAGCCTGCCACACGCGAGTGCTGAGCGGCAGTATGGATGCTCTGAGGTGCGGCCGCATGAGGCACAGGACCAAGTCACCAAGGGCCAGCGTAGCCTGCGGCGTAGAAGGCCAAGGGTCAGCGTAACTTGGCCTGCGGCGCCGAATCTGCCTGGGCGGCAGACTGTTTGTAGGCAGCATATCTTCTCACCTAGAAATCGAATGAAGCCTTTAGCAAATAACGCTTTTCGAGGCATATGGGCAGACTCTCGTTTGGCGGGGAAGAAGGATGCATATATATGCCTCGGTATATATCGTGTGAATGGAGGAGGAAGAGCAGCACCCACTTCTGCGCTTCGTTCAGCAACGACCGCAACCAGGCAACAAGGCACACCGGGACTAGCCGCCGCCGCCGAACCTTCATCCTTCTCGCCACTCTTATTTGTACCGCACGCAAGCATTCCGTCAGCATCTTCCCAGCCGGCGCCTATTAATCCTGCACTTGTGGAGCCAAGCCCAAACATGCTTCTATACAGCTTGTCTCTCACAAGCACCTTCACGGCCGGACCGACGTCTTGGCCTTGCAATGCCCAGTCGCCACGCACTCTTGCGTGAAATCACACCCTCACCCACGAGGAATCTAGCAGTGTAACTGTGTCCATCGCGCGCAGCATGGAGTGCACAGCTGTGATGATGGTGAGGCACTTCGAGGGTGCTGTGGTGCGGAAATGCAGGAAAGGAACTCTGATAAAGCATAGTATCTCTCAGGGACACCTCCCCCAACTACGCATTCATTGAGCCCATCAACACCGGCAGCAGAAGAATTCTGCCCCAAATCACGAAATCAAACCCAGCAGATTCGAGATTCCACACAGAAAGAATGAGAGGCCCAATACCCAACTTCTTGGCAATCACAGCCTTCCTTCAATCCCTCACCTCAGCCCACATGGTCCTCACCTATCCAGGCTCCCGAGGAAATAATCTCCACCTGAACGGCACACCACCCGCCTTCAATCCCGAAACAGTCGGAATCGACTACTACGAGAACGGCACGCTTGGTTTCCCTTGGGGAATGCAATGGATGCACCCATGTACGCAAGCAATCTACCGCAAAACTTTCGCCAAAAAGGAAAAAAAAAGAAAATCACTAACTCACCATTCACCCAGGCGGCGGAATGTCTCTAACACACAACCGAACCCTCTGGCCCGTATCAGGAGGCGCCATCTCCGTGCAACCCGGGTGGTTTCCGGGGCACAAAAAAGCCCTCTTCTACATCAACCTCGGGATCTCAGAACCCGGAGAATTCTCCCCTCCACCACATTACATGAACAATCTCGTACAAGCCTTCCAAATCATCGGGCCGAGCAATGTGGTGTACATGGCACAGTTCTGTCTACCTGAGGTCAAAATCCCTCCGGAGCTGGGATTGAAGAAAGGGGATAATGTCACGATCCAGGTGATTGAGACGGCGCAGCACGGGGCTAGTTTGTATACTGTAAGTTTATGGAAACGACGATAGGGGGAGAGAGAGAGATTTGAGATCAAGATTGCTGATTTTTTTTTTTTTGGTTTTAGTGTGTGGATGTGACATTGGCAGATCCCGAAGAGGTCGTGCCCGTGACACCACAGAATTGCTACAACACTTCGAATCTGGAGTTCAGGAATGTTTATACCGCTCCGATTCCGCATGATCATGTGCAGGGGTATAGTTAGGTTGTGGGACGATCGAACATCGGATTCCGGGTCTGGCCGGCATCGTTCAGCCAGGACAGTTGCCACGTTCCAGCGCTTCGACTAGACCTTACCTACGATCTCAAGTACGACGCTTCAGTCTCCACGACCTCACCGAGTACCGCAACGCTTACCGAAGACGATGATCATCGGCCAGGAACGAATAGGGAGCGACAGGTTAAGATGCATCGCACCATCTACCAAATCCTATGCTGATCGTCGCGTCACAAATTCTCGAGAATAGACAGGTCAGATTTCGAATCGGGGGATGAAGAATTCGGTGATCTAAAAGGACGGTGTGATGCCCTCCCACCTTTTCTCGTCCAAGAAAAAAACTGTCATTGAGCAAACATGGGTCATCGTAATCTATATTACTATCAAGCGATCTAATGTATGTATCTATCGTATGTACACAGCAAGCCTTGCGACTCAAAACAACGGTCGTATGTACAAGATGACGTCTTCCACGTTTTAGTGATTACTTTCCGTCCTTTATACAATGGTCTTCAGCGACAGCGGTCTTCATTCAGTCGACATCATCCTCATCCACCACATCTGGATCCTCAAGCAAGATAGTCTCAGTACAAAAGTGGACGTCTTCTTCTTCTTCATCCTCCCCCTCAAAGGTTCTACAATCACCATCTTCTTCTTGCCCAGTAGCTTTATGACAACGAGGAATGGTAAAACGTGGAAAGTACCGGTGGTGCAACCTCAGCCGACTCGAACGACCACATAAAATCGATTTGAGCAAGATTCGGCCAAGGAATGTCTCAATCGAAGGAAATGCTGAACTGTGCATTGTCATCATGCAGGCGCCTCGTGCATTGCGGAAAGAGAGTAATGGCGAATCGGTCTTCAGTAGCCGACCCTGAGAGTCTGACCACTCACTAGTGAGTGCTGTGGAGTGAGATTCACATTCAGATAGTGGCGAAATAGCCCGAACAGTGGATGTCGACTCAGTCTGACCAATAGGAGTCGTCTTGGCCCATTCAATGAGACGTCGGCTCTCACTTTTGTTTTTGAGCAGCGCCAAGGACGTCTCTCGAATCTGCTGTCCTCCAGGACCGTCGATGGTGGGAGGTGCATCGCGAGCAATTCCGCGACGAACTTTCCGCACCCGGATGATTGCACACGCCCTGTCCGCAAGTTCAGAAGCTAACGCTCGCAGTCCTGTCTGGATGTGATCCTCCATGTCGGTTTTGTTCAATGGAGCAAGCACAGCAAGGCTGACTGGCGGCTCGGATCTATACTGATGGTGATCGTCAGATCGGATACGAAGGTACCGTTGTATCGAAGCTCGAAGCGCGGCAACCCGCCTTTCTGCGTCCACAGATGCTAGTCTCAATTTCCTCCTCCGGATTATCTCTGCCATTTCTTCTCGTGGTCGTCGAGGAAACGGAGTAGGCATATCCGACAGCTCAACATCAGAATCGACTCGTGTCAACTCGCCAGCAATGTCCTGATCATCCTCCTAGTGTGCTGGTGCAATCTGGCTATCACCTTCAGCTTCGGATCTCACACTCTCAAACTCCTTGGTCTTCTCGGCTTCCGCATCCGCCTCCGCGTGTGCGTCGTCTGCTCCATCATGAGACAAAGTGTTGGCAAAAGCTTGCGGGTGACGCTCGGATAGATTGATCGCCGTGAAGGATTTCGGCAACTTCACCATCTGAAATTTGTCGCGAAGTGTCTGGAGTACCTCTTTCCATTCACCGTGCGCCGTCAAGGATCGGCGAGGAGCGCAGCCAATGCAGTGCTTGCTGTCAAGTTGCACATCAAGGGGATCGAATGTATGACAGCCGGGGCTTATCGTGATGCGGATGCTGTATGTGTATGGTGCTTGAGGATCATTCAAGGCACAAGCTTCGGGGTCTTCGGATTCGTAGAGCTCGAAGCAGATCTGAGAGAGGTAGTCAAGCTCAGGAATGGCATTGCGTGCAATCTTGGTCTGAATGCCGCCTTCCAGAATGCAATTGAGGAGCGTGTAGATATGCGATTCTTTGGTGAAGTAGATGAACGACTTGGCGTCGTCAGAAGCTTGGGCCTCTTCCAAATCTTTGACAATCTCCTTAAGTAGAGGCAAGGACGTAAGAAGACCAATCTCGAGCTTCTCGGTGTCTGTAATGCCGTACTCCTGAGGACCGATGAAATCGAACAGGACTTTTGATAGCTTGTAGAGCTCGTTCAATTTCTCCAATCGCAGATCGTTCTTGACTTTGCTCTGTGCTGCTTGTACATTGCCCTTGTAAAGATTGAAATAGCTTGCTGATGGATCCTCGGAGGCAGTTGTAGCAGGTGCGCCAGCTGGAGGAACGGCCAAGTTCTTCGTAGCAGCCATGAGATCAGCGCTCTTACGCCTGAAGCCCAGCCGCTGTGAAAACGTTGGTTTTGTGCTTTCAACATCTTTGGCATCTTTCTTCGGCCGGGACAGATTGCCAGTGCTAGTCTCCATATTGGATGCAGCAGTATCACTTCGCTTTGGTGGCGGAAGCTGTAGTGTGTCCATGCCTGCGAGATCACCCTGAGTCGGATCGAGACCAGTGGCGGAGGCGTCGCCTGCAGGCGCTTGTCCTTCGTGGGTGTCGGCGAACTCCTCTCGCATGTTCTGACTTTCGGTACGCTTTAGGCAACCTCCAGCTTCTGATTCATCGTCTTCGCTCAAGATCGATTGGCTAGGAGTGAACACCCATTCGAGAAAAGGCCTGTTGTGAAGAGCATCGAACTTCATGGTGTCGTAGAGCTCGCTGACCTTGCTAGGATCGACCTTCTCGGCATCCGTGAATTCGTTAAATAGCTTTTCCCATCGCTCCTTGAATAGCTCAGCATCTTCCCCTGTGCACCAACGTGGCTGAATGATGTTTGCCTGAGCTTCGGTCGATGAGATGTCTGTGCCGTTTTTGGAAGAAGGCGAAGGACTCTTGGCTCCAGGAATACCGTTGGCGAGTCCTGATTCGTTGCCGCGATTGGCTCCGTTCGGACTCTTCTGAATCTTCTCCAGACTAGACACAGCTTCTGAGCCTCGAAGTCTAGTGAAATTGTATCGCATGACTCTGCGATGAAACTTCATTAATTCCACGACGCGGCGCACGACGAGATATGGCTCTGGCGTGCCATCTTTTGGCCAAGCAAACTGCTCTGGAGCCTGATGCCCTTTACGAAGCAGGCCTTTCAGCTTCTTCTTGACTCTGTCCATCTCATCCTTGGCTGCGTTTGAATCATCGAGCAGGTCCTTACGCACACGGATCTGCTCGGGCTCGACCTCTTTTTGCTCCAAGAAGGCCGCAGCAAAGATTTGCGCAGAGGTCGTCACTCGGCGCTCAGATGATGTATATATGGATACATCGTCGAGGACGCAACGATTCATAAGCAGCATGTCGTTACGCATGTTCTCGCCAAGGTCTGTTGCTTGGTACCTCGCAGAGTGCGTGGGCTCTCCTCCCCATTTCATGACGAGCTGCAACTTGTCCAACACGAGATTCTGATCAGCAGCAGCGTGTCGCGACATAGTGATCTCCGGTATAGAATCACTCCGCGACATAGCTCGCGCTCCTGGTGGACCTGTCGAGTCGTTGACCTCAGCAAACTCTACCGGTCTCGTCGGCTCTCCTAATGTGTCGACGCCAAGCTTCTTTCGCCATTCTTCCGCGTCGCTTGGCTCGGTGGACTCGACCATAGGAACACTCTGCTTGCGCTCCTTCTTCTCCTTCTTCTCCTTCTTCTCCTTCTTCTCCTTCTTCTTGTCACCATCCTCACCATCCTTCTGATTCTCGTCTTGCTGCTCGTCTTTGCCCTCCTTCGGCTTCTTGAACATGGGCTTGATTTGGACTTTGGTCCCCGGCCAAGCGCCTTTCTTGGCAAGTGCGTTCTGGAGCGTGCGTAGCTTGTTCATATCTTCGACACCTTCCGACATGGCTTGGCGCACGGCTTGCTGGACACTATGCAACGCGGCTTCGCCGACGAGGAGAACTTCTTCCTGATGACCCTTCAGGAGGTCGACGAAAGGCTTGGTATGGAAAGTGAACTTGAACTTCTGCTTTGGCGTACGGTCAGCATGTCTGATGACTGCCACCATACCTTTCAGCTTCCACTGGCTTTTCGCGGCTGGAGCTGGGAGTATAGAAGGTGCTTCGGAGTAAGCGACAGATTCGAGATCCGAAGACACAGGACGACCATTTTCTTCATTTTTGAGGTTGTCGATGTGCGACGGCACAGCGGGTGGAGGTAGAACATGCTCGCTCTTATCGTTGTGTAGGGACCGCGCACGGCTACGCAAAGATCCTGAGCGCTCTAGATCACGCTCCAAAGTCGATGGGGATGTGATTGGACTAGTTGTACCGCTTGGGCTTTTGATCGAATGTGGATGTCCGACCTTGTGAGCTGCATGATGGACATGGTCGCGGAGCTGAGAGATGCTTCTACTTCTCAAGACGTCTTTGAGCGCCCCACGATGACCACTAGTCGGAGCCTCGCCCTCTCTACCAAACGTAGGCTTCTTTTGCAGGGAGCCATCGGGCACGGAAGTTGGTGGCAGCATCATTCGTCCATGGTCTGGATCTTCAGGCTCGACCGGAGTCGCGCGTCCATCCCACTTCATCTTCTCGCTGATGAACATGCCCTTGAGGATTCTTGCAGCATTGTCGTAGTAGTCATTGTTATCCTTGACAAAGCTCCAGCCATTGACATCGATTACGAAGCTCTGATTGTCGACTCTGAGAAGGTCAAATCCACACACTCGCTGACCAAATCCTCTTGCAATCTTGGCAGCCATGACGCGCTCTTCGGCAGTCAGCTTCGTAACGTAGCGGATTTCCTTGCCATTCGGATTACGCTTGACAACACCATCCACCACGGGAGACTTGCGGGTTTCAGCATGGCAGAAGTCTTCGCCGACCGTGTAGGCCTTCACATCCTCGGCATTCTCCACCTTAAGGAACTGCTCGTAGATGTACGATCCATCTGGTTCCGTTATGGCCTTGGGAATGACTAAGCTGCTGTCCTTTTCGCTGGATTTGTTGTTGATCTTCCGGAAGAGTCGTCGACCGCCTCCACCTTGAGATTTAGGATAGTAGATGTTGATATTGTGGTCTTCACCACTGGTGGGCTTTTCAACGAAAGGCTTGCGCAATTTCTTGCCATCTACCACGAGAGTATCGTTATCTTCTTCCATGTGTACATCCATGGGAGGTGGACAGCCACCACCGCGGCCGTCTTCAGATCCAATCAATTCGACCTGAGTAAGCTGCTTCATTCGTGCGGCAATGTCGGCCGTCAGTGCGACTGGCCCACCATCGCGATTGACCTCAAGGCGTTCTGGTGTCGGTACACCCAGCTTATCCAATATCATCAGACACATGCGTCTATCCCACAGCACAGTTTGCATTGGTAAGTCATTTACGCAAAAAGGTCGACGCAGCTTAGCGTATGCAATAGCTTTTTCCAAGGGAAAGCCATCGCTGAAGAAGGATATAAGGAAGTCGCAAACCGGCCAATTCTCGACATTCTCGTCGAGGATGACTTTGTCTCCGAAGATGATAACATCGAATTCATTATCCTTACCAACGAGTCGGTTGAGGATATTCCTAGAAGGCTTGCTTCTGGCTTTGGAATCTAATGCGCAAATTCCAATGGTTCCAATCCTGTTGGGATGATTACTGTTCAATGTCGAACGATCCATAGATTGCGCGGCGCTGGTCGGGTTGCTGGTCGACACTCGTGCAGATGTGCCAGGCGTCCTACCGCGAATGGTCCGACCCTGTCTTGACTGTTGTTGACTGGGCGGCGGCGCCGGCGGCGAGGAAGGAGTGTTACTGAGGGAGCCTGACGAGTTGCCAGACTGGGCGCCTGAATTGTTGTGTATGTATGCATCTCTTAATGGTCCGCTCAGCGAAGGCGACAGAGCTCCATCCTTGCTCTGTGTGGTGACGGAAAGGGTTTGAGTGGCGGTGGTGGTGCGATCGGAGCCTTCTTGCTTGGCTGTATCTTCAGGGTCAGTCTCAATGGCCGCTTCCAGCGCATCAAGGACACACAAACCATCATGGTCCGAAGCCCCGCCCACCGAGCTTGGGCCTGGGGTAGCATGTCAGTATTTCGAGTATATGCAGCAATGCTTTTGTGTGATACATACCACTCGTCATGGCACTCTTCCCACTGCCGTATAGCGAAGAGAAAGACATTCTGTGGCTGTCCAAGTCGGCGTCTGTTCGTCTCGTGCTGCTGGGAATGCGGGAGTCGGGGAGAGTGCCTTTGCGAATTGCTTCGAGGGCACCCGCGATCTCGTCGGAATCGGCCATGTTGGAGCCAATGTGAGCTATGGCGGGCGGCTGAGGGCCTCTTGGCTGGTGTGAGTTAGTGGTCGTCGGCGAGAGGAGAGTCGCGGACAATCGCCGGCAGGCAGTTTGGTAGCGAGAATGAGGCTTTGTCGTGGTAGTGTTGCTGGGCGGTGGCATAGAAATACTGGCACGATCGGTCTCGCCGACGGTAGTGTCTATGTCGGCATGTCGTGCCTTGCGACTGTTGGATGCCGTCGAAGCGGATAGTGCGTGGGCGTGGGCGTGGGCGTGGGCGGAGGAATGCGACGGGGTGGAGTCCTGCGAGGTGCTTCTGGTCAAAATGAATGAGTTGGGACGCTGGGACGAGGAAGCCATCCCTCTGCCTCGCCCTCTCCCTCTCCCTCTCCCTCTCCCGCCCGTCCGGGTAGTGACCGCGAGAACGAGAGCGAAACGAGCAGTGGCGATGGAGTGAGTGAAGGTGTGCTGCAAGGCCGGAGTCAGGCTGCGTCCTGTTTGCGCCGCAGTGCTGTACTAAGTCTCCCGGCCTTTTCGCCCAGATTTCTTCATATGGACCCACGTCCCAATTCGAATGAAATATGCATAAACGCAATCCCCGTTAAGCCCGATTAGTGCAACTCTATTTGGCAGCTGGATTCGAAACTTTTCGCCGGCACAGCACAGGCACCGCGAGAATTGAGACGCGACAGCTGGGCGACGATGGAGCTTGACGGGCGCACTGTGAAGCGGCAGAAGCTCAGCAACGGAGTCGCAAAGCCACGGCGACAGGCGAAAGCAGGCGCTTCTCGCATCTTCGCGCCATACCGCACCGTCGGCCTCGTCTCGCCCACCGAGGTCCCATTCACGAGTGTCCCACTAGGCAAGACCACCTTCCAGATCACGACATCGGTGGGCAGGAGCTTGCAGACTTACGACCTACGCCGCGGACTAAATTTGGTCTTCGTCACCAGACCGCAGACTCCCGCGCAAATCACTGCGACAAAGGCGTGGAAGGACAAGATCTTTGCTGCTTGGGGCGGCGGCGGCGATGCGACCTCGGAAACAGGCGTGTGGGTGTTCAAGCGAGGCAAAAAGGAGGCAGAATTGGAAGTCCCGCCAGACTGCAAGGAGAATGTGAAAGCGTTCTGCGTGTTTGGCTGCTGGCTCATCGGAGTATGCGACACGGAACTCTTGGTGTGGAAGACCACCGACTTGGAGCTGTACACCTCGCTCAGAGGCTTCTCGCCCGTTGCATTCACCAGGTGCATCTCCAGTCTCCCCACTTTCCTCAACAAGATCATCGTTGGCAGAGAAGATGGCAGTGCTGAGATCTGGAACGTCTCGAGCGGCAAGCTGGTCTACACAATCTTGCCTCCATCCACAGCCTACGGTGCCGTTACCGCCATAGAGCCGACTCCCGCTCTTTCGCTCGTGGCCATCGCCTTCGAGAAGGGTCCCATCCTCATTCATGATGTGCGCGCAGACCAGACCGTCATCCAGTTGAACACACCTGCTGGAGCACCAGCCACCTCTATTTCCTTCCGCACAGATGGCCTGGGCGCTGGCGATGATGGCAAGTCGGCAGGTGTCATGGCGACTGCGTCTACTGCGACAGGAGACATCACGCTATGGGATTTGAACGACGGTGGGAGGAAGGCAGGTGTTCTTCGCGCAGCGCATGCACAGCCGTCAGCCTCCGCCTCGGGTGGTACAAGCCGGGTTGAGTTTCTAGCTGGACAGGGAGTCTTGGTGAGTAGCGGACTCGACAACAGTCTCAAGTCGTGGATCTTCGACGCCACTCCCTTCAGTCCAATACCACGAATTCTGCATGAGCGACGAGGCCATGGAGCACCGGTGTCAAAGCTGATGTTTCTGCCAACAGCTTCGGATGGCTCGGACGACACTGGGAAGTGGTTACTTTCAAGCAGCAGAGATCGCAGTTTATGGGCATGGTCATTGCGTCGAGATGGCCAGAGCACAGAACTCAGTCAGGGTGCCATTCAGAAGAAAGCAAAAAAGCAGGGCTTGCTGTCAGGCGATCGTGACAGCTTTGCCGATCTCAAGTGTCCTCCTATCACCAGTATGGCTTGTAGTCTCAATCGTGATGGTGGTGTGGGCGCCATACCTGGCAAGCATCCCATCTGGCAGAACAATGGCAAGTCAAAGCAGGTCAGCGCAGAGGTCCGTGCAATGACTGGCTGGGAAAGCGTTCTCACCGCGCACGAAAATGATAGCAAGGCAAGGACGTGGTTCTGGGGCCGAAAACGTGCTGGGAGATGGGCTTTCGAGACTGCCGATGGCGGAAACGTCACTTCTGTTGCCATCTCTCCTTGCGGAACCTTCGCTGTGGTCGGCTCTGAGAAAGGCGGCATCGATATGTTCAACATGCAATCAGGAATTCAACGACAACGATTTCCTGCGAGACTAACGCCTATGCAAGCAAAGCAGCTGCGTCTGGATGTTGAGCGACATGGCTTGGTTGAGGAGGGCGATGGCAAGAAGAAATTCTATCGCGGTCAAGGAAAGCATGCCGCAGCAGTTGTCGGTCTTGCTGTCGACAGTCTGAACAAGACCATAATATCAGCTGGCGCAGATGGCAAGATCAAATTCTGGGATTTTCAGAGCGGTCTCCTACGAGGCCAGATCGATTGGTCGAGCTCTACGGGTCTTCTAAGCATGCGCTTCCATCGTGGCTCAGATCTTGCCGCATTTGCTTGCACAGATGGATGCATTCGTGTTATCGACATCAGCACCCAGAAGCTTATTCGTGAGCTGTGGGCATCACGTTCACCAATAGCGGAGCTGCAGAAGCTTACGATCAGCGACTTCACATTCTCGGACGATGGTCACTGGATATCTGCAAGCATGGGCCAGCTCGTCTTTCTCTGGGATCTGCCTACCGGACATCTTGTCGACGGCTTCAAGCTAAAAGCAGATTGCAACACCCTCGCTTTCTCGCCGACAGGAGAATATCTCGCAACAGCAACGCAAGACACTGTCGGTGTAGACATCTGGACAAATCGCGGTCTCTTTGCCCATGTCGCGACCCGAGCCATTTCCCAGGATGACCTCCTCTCAATTATCCACTCGACGTCGGCCCTGGCCCCAACAGCATCAGGTGAAGGTGGTGAAAATCTCATCGCAGCAGATGTCGACGACGAAGAGGACGAAGACAATGCAGCCGATGCAGCCCTCCTCCTATCCGAAGATGATCCAGCCCACACCCTCTCAAACGACCTCCTCTCCCTCTCGCTAGTCCCCAAATCCCGCTGGCAAAACCTCCTACACCTAGACCTAATCCGGCAACGCAACAAACCGACCGAAGCCCCCAAGAAACCCGAAAAAGCCCCCTTCTTCCTACCCTCCCTCCAAAGCGGCGCACCAAAAACCTCAACATCCCCCAAAACCAACCCAACACCCTCCGACCTCGAAAAAGAACGCACCCGAATCGCAAAACTCTCCCACTCGGGCCAAAAATCCCCCTTCACAGCCCTCCTCCATCAATCTTCCGCATCACCTCACACTCAAACGCTCTTCATCAACCACTTAAAATCTCTCTCTCCAGCAGCATCAGATATAGAAATTCGCTCCCTGTCCACGAATGAGAATGAACACGAACATAGCTTGTTCATTCGCGCTCTCACCCACGTTCTCGAAACAAAACAAAATTTCGAATTGGTGCAAGCTTGGATGTCTGTGTTTTTGAAGGTGCATGGAGATGTTGTGGTTGCGGACGAGAATTTGAGGGGAGAGGTGGTGGAGTTTAGACAAGTGATGGAGCGGGAGACGAAGAGGGTGAGAGAACTCGTGGGGGTTTGTGGGGGGATGGTGAAGTATTTGAGGGCTGCGAGGGTATAGAGAGGAGGAAGTCGGTTCATGTGAAGAGATGATGGATGATATGGCGGAAATTTTCAACAATCATGATGATTATTGATTGATTCAAGAAGCAAAAATTACGAAACCCCGCGAGCGACACAAGTAATAAAATCACCATCTCTGCCATAATGAAGAGTTTAGTAAGATGGAGTCGCATAAGCCGTCAACGCACTCGCACTCGGAGCAGGCGTGCCACCACCTCCACCACCACTAACCATTGTCCTCCTCGATCTCGTCGGCTGAGAAGAATACTCAATGCCCCTAGCATGAAGTCGATCTACAGCCTTCTTATCAAGCACAACTTTATCCCAATTCCTCGGGAGTTGCGCGCCCGCAAGTAACATTGTAGTTTTCATATTCCTGCTCTTGAACCTGAGATCCTCGGCCGAACGTTTCGTCAAACGGGCTTCTCCTGTAGGGATCAGTTCGTTGTCGATGGCTTTGAGACTGGCATAACTGATTCCGTCGTCGCAGTGTTGTTCGATGAGTTCCATGAGAGCGGATTCTTCGTATGGGTCCCAGGGTTGGCGTTGTTGGGTGGGTTTGGGGGCCATGGTGCGGTTGGTGCGCGAGTCGACTTTCCATTGTTGGTAGGCTGTTGAAGGAGGTGGGGCTGGGTCTTCTGGGTCGAGGGCTGGTTGCCGAGGAGGGATTGCGGATCCTGGATTCTTGCGTTGGCGCTTTGATGGGCTGAGCTGGGTGGCTGCTGATGAAGGTGGGTAGTTGGAGGGACCGGCAGCAGCACTTTCTGCGCCTACGCTGGGGTAGCGGTTGCGTGGGGCTTGGCCGAAGGAGGTCTCTCTTCGTAGATTGTCGGCATTGGCGTGGTCACGAGTGTCCTCTTCAAAGCCTTCGTCTTGGGTGGGATTTGGAACATGGTCATCAGATTCAGTCGCTTCCGTAAGCTTGCGCTTGTTGGGTCTCGCGCTCGGAGGAGCGGGACGTGTGTCGGGTTGCGTTTCATCAAAGACGTCCATATTCGGATCGATGAGCACCGCGCCGTCTTGTCGGTCGATAAGACGACCTTTACCTTTACTTTTGTTTCTCTTCTGTGCATCTTGAAATCCTTGTATAGCAGACATTGTGGAGGCGGGAATGCCAGACTGTTCGGCAGCCGCATCCCCTTCTGGCTCTTGGTTGTCACCGAAGTCTCGTGCGAGCACGTCTTCCTGCTGGTTGGTGGTGGGAGCAATCATGTGAGCGGTCGGAGCGGTCGCAGGTGGCTCCAGAATCTGTCTCTCCTTCGCTTTGAGTGCTGCCATGACACTCTTTCCGCCCAAGCTTCGTCGTGGGGTAGAGCCAGTCTTGGTCAAGTTCTGCTTCATCCGCTCCGCATGACGAGTATCGAATCGTCGTTCTGCCTCCCGCGCCAAGCTCTTGACGATTAGTTCGACACCACCACCAGCAGCGATCCGCCTGTCAAGCTCGGTTGCTCGTGCCTCGTAGTATCTCAGAACATGTGACCTGAAGTCATCCCATTTGAACTGCGCCTTGAGCTTGCCATTAGCTGCTGTAGCATTCTTGCCGGTCTTGTCTTTGAAAGTGCTCTGAAGCACCTTGACCAGATCTGTGACCATCTGGATAGCTCTCTCGAAGTCTGCCTCGCTTGCTTTGGCGAAACCAAGTGTCAAGAGATGTTTGAATTGACCTTCGTTATCGTAGAAGACGTTGCCAATCTCGTCGTGAGGTGCGAAGTTCGGATCGGTAGCAATGGCCGCATCTAGACGTCTGATGGCAAGATGCGCAGCCAGGTTGAGCCAGAGTTCGATAGCAGCGAAGCTGAATTCGCCGCCCGCTATGCCGACGGGGAATGCCATGTCGAGCCGTTCCAGAGCATCGGTGGCACGTGGCGTCCAGTCGGTAATGTCACAGACAACCAGGACACTATTGAGCATCTGAGCCAGATTGGTCTTGAATATGATGTTGTCAGGTCGCCATTGTGCTGCGGGCAAGGCGTGCAGCGAGGGGACGGGCTCTCCAAGAAGTGCTGCAAGGACGATTCGAGGCTGAATGTATTCCTGCGAGCCGAAGCTTGGCTTGTGAAGTTGGAGGGTGGCTAAGCGACGATTGTACAGCTTGTTGTGCTTGGAGCCTGTCTGTTTGATCTCCTTCCACAGTGCCGGAGAGGTTGCTGGTCCTTCGGGCGCCAGCAGTTTGGCCAGACTGTCCGAGGCCGACGCGAGATCTGGCAAAACATCGACGATGACTTCATGGTCTAGCTGCTCGATCTCCTCTTGCGAGAACGAGGTCTTGGCTGTAGTGCCAGAGATGGCTGAGCCAGCAGATGCGCGTCGAGGCGATGGCCGATGAGTGTCTGGCTCGACATGGAGCTGCTGGGCGAGCTGCGCTTCGGTGGTGTCATCATCCACGATGACATTCTCATCAACAGGAGGCAGATCTGAAGAAGGTCAGGATGCTATCGTCGCGTGGAGCAAGGACTGGTCGTCGGCCGCGGGTGCGTTTGGTGTTCGTAACCCTTCGCTTGTCGGTAGGGTAGGCAACCCTCCGATGTTTACTCTGGCGACACACATACTCCGTACCATGAATTGACTTACTTGCGCCCTTGGCTTGACCCTTTCTTCCACGCCTCTGCGCAGCTGCAGCAGGTGGTGCGGCGGCAGTGTTGCTAGCGATTCCATTGTCGGGCGCTTGCTGCTGTGGTTCAGCGCTCTGGCTCCGTGTCGCTCGACGAGTTGCCTGCGCCGGCGCCGCAGCAGGCCCTTCTGGCGCCGTCGACGAGATCTTGGCCATGTCGGGAGGCAGTTGTGCAGTCTACAATGACGTCGGCATCAAGGCGCGAGGGCGATGAGATGTGTGGGAGATCTAGGCGAAGTTACTGTATTGTTGTGTGCCTGACTGCACTGCCTGGCAACCACATCGCAAACCCTAAGGGAATCACGTGCGCCACGCATCGGGGCCGGCCCGCTTCTCGCGCTTCTCTCGTGCTTCTCTTTCGCTTGTGAGTGGTCTGTATTCTGCCAACAGCTCGATAAGCGAGGTGGGGCTTCCCGTAGAATTACGTCGTTCCCGCCAAGACCCTGTTTCCCCATATTATCTCGCTTAATTTCCGGGCTTCGCGTATTTCGAGATAAAGCTTAGTATACCTATACTAAACAAGCGGAAATCCTAAACCTCTCGTTTTGTAATATACTATATACTACTATAATAGACGATATTATAGAGCTAGAACGACTTCGGCAACTATTCTTTAACCTTATTAAACTATTTAAACTTTTACTATCGCAATAGGAAACGATATAGGCTGTATTAAGCAATATCTACTTGTATACGATTATATCGCATTTAGGTAAGAATTTAGATATATAAGGCTAGATAACTAAGAAGTAGTACTTCGGCTATATTAAACGACGACGCAATAGTAATAGTAAGGGCAAAAGCAAGGAAAACAAGGACGAGAGCGCCTCTAAGGAAGAGACCTTTATTAGATAATGTTAGAAGCCTAAATTTAAGCTAGTTACGCTTTATAAAGTATCCTTTATTATTATAATATATCGGCTAGAAGGTATTCGATAAGAGCCTATATATATTACGAGAGGCTAATTCGAAGGCAGACATATTGTTAGGGCTAAAGAGGCTATACGTAATTAGTATGTAACTAGGCTAAGTAAAGCTAGGGTCTTAGTGCCTTAGGCAGGGCTTAGCGCTTAGTAATAGGCTAACTTACCTGCCTTCCTCCCTCTCCTCCTAGCTCCTTATCGAATACTACCTATACCTACTACTACCCTATCTACCTACTAATATACCCTTCTTATATAGTATTCGATCTATCCTTTAAGGGTAGCAGCTAGATAGTCCTTATTTCAAACTTTTAGCGGTATAGCTACAAATAAGACTAATCTAACTATATTGCGCCCGAAGAATAGGACCTATACGTACTATTCTATCGAAACAACCGTACCAATTATTAAGTAAGGCCTTCTATACGGCCTATTACACTAAGTTAAGTATACTAGACCGATATCTACTAATTCCGCTATATCCGTATCTTAGGGGCTAACAATATATTATTAGTGCTACCCCTTATTATAATAGCCGGCTTATTACGAAACAATAATCGCGGCGCCGCTAGTAGCGCTAGCAACGACAATGCTAGTAGTATAGTGCCTGCTAAAGTGCCTACTAAAGTGCCTACTAGAGCACCTACTAAAGTGCCTCCTACTAAAGAGCCTACTACTAGGCCTACCGAAGAACCTATAATTCTAGATAACGACCTAGAGTTGCCTATTAACGACATTCTTAGCAATATTATTAACCGTCGATATAGCTAACTAGCCTTTAGCCCTTAACTATTAGGGAGACTTTAAGAAGCTACTTAAAATAGGCTTACTACCCTACGTTAAGAACAATAGCTAAAGGATAATCTCCTCGAGCTCCGTCGCCTTTAGGAAGCCCCGATAGTAAAACTAATAGCGGGACCTTCTTTACTACCTATCTAAAAGAAGGATGCTAAACTTAAGGACTATACCGTATTTAATAGCTCTAGTCGAAAGCAGTATAACGACTATATTCGTAACTATAAACTTAACTAGCGCAATGCACTAAGAGCGCTACTAGACGACTATTCCTTAGTCGTACACGCTATGTAGTACATTAATAGCGACCTAAAGCGTATATAGGATAACTATTTCGACTCCCTCGACGACTAGACCGCTATTTAGTAGTAGACCTATAAAACTATTATGCTAGATACCCTTAGAAACCCTATACTAAGGCAATAATATGCTTAGGACCTGTATCTTCGAGCTAAATAGAAGACTAATCAATCGGCTCGCTTATTTAAAGCCTATTTAAAGACCCTCGAGGATAACCTTCCGCCTAAGACTAATTCTATATAGATCTCGGAAATACGCCTAAAACTTAGATAGGAACTTATCCTCGAATTAGACCGTCGCCGTATATTCGAATAAGCTAACCTAATACGTATTTAATTTATAGTCAAAGTAGAAACAGCCGAACGAGCTGTCTAGCTCTAATAACGACTAGAATCGAGGATCCGGCTAGCTAGTACTAACCGCGTGTTACGAAGGCAGGCATAGGCATAGGCTAGGTAGGAGGCCCTAGCCTCCTATAGTATATACTTCTCTAAGCCTAGATAGACTTGGAATAATCATCCACTTTATAACACACGATGTATAACAAAATGGTAGCTTCGCTTCGAGTACTAGCGTAAAAACACGCACTAACCGTCTCTAAACGGACTATCCGAACTACGGTTTACTATTTCCCCTCTCTAAGGCGAAAAGTCCTCCGCGCCGAAGGAGAATCCTAACGAACTACTCTAATACTACTTTCCGCACTATAGAACGCCGTAGCTACGCTATAAAGAAAGAGGCTATAATTTAGTACGAAACATACGAGATCTATAGGCGAATCGGCTCGGAGATCGACGATAGACCTAGCCCTACGCCGCGGCGCGCTTTACGCTCCCTCTATTAATACCCTTACTTGCTAAGGGCAGGAGCGTTAGTTCGGGTTAGTAGGAGCTAGGTATCTAACCCTCCTAACTTCCCTCTTTTAGGGTATAAGGACGTAGGAGGTTCCGACTACTCTTACGGTAGCTACTACGCCTATAACTGCGGTTAATATCGAGACGGTTTCCCGCTCCGCCTCTTAATATCTACGTTACAATACTAGAGCCTATAGCATTAAAGGACTAGGAATCTCCGAACGATCCGCCGCCTATAGCTTAGGAGGATTGTACTCTTCCCGAATTAAAGGAAGACAGATACTACCTAGTTTATATAGTATATATACTATTAGCTTTCTTAAAACTAAGGCAGTGTCTAAGCAAGCTATTCGAGAAGGATCTTAGATATAGAGTTATCGCTATTACCGAGTAGTACGAGGATCCGGAGGAGGCTAAACCTCTACGTCGCCTAAGGTTATAGTCCCGCGTTCTAGATACAGACAAAGACGCAACCCCTAAGCCTTAGATACGCGCTAAGATTATTAGCTCGTAGGTTGACGACAACTCCCTATCGCTTTCCGCTATACGACAAGTATATCGTCTAACTTCGCACTAGTCGGATAGCCTATACTTCGCTTAGTAGCTAGTAGAATACCTTAAGTCTACCGACGAGAATCCGGCCGCGGGCGAGAATTAGCTACGTTACCGCAAGGTTTATATCCCTCTACGACTAGAGAAGTAGGGCGTCCGTCGCTTAATTAAGGACGAGAACTTAGGCTAAGCTAAGCCTAATAGACGTAGGGAGTCTTTTAAAATCAACCTACTAACGGGTAACGTTTTTAAGAATTTCGGAGCCTTTCGTAAAGACGACCCGCCTCCTAAGCCTCGCGAGAGCTTATTAATCTCGGTGTCTAGCAGTTCGATACTTAGCTTACTACCGGATTCCTAGCTAGAAGGAGAAGACATATCGGGCAAGCAAGCTCTAGGATCTATAGTACCGGTAAACGGTATAGCCGGCGCTAAATAGCGAGATGAAATTAGATAAATGAAGTCCTAGGTAGCTTAGTAGCTAGCCGAGCAACGCACTAAGGCAGATAATAATCGAGCTACGGATCGTATACGTCTATAGAGGGTATTAAACGAACAGCGCGAGGCTTACGAGATCGAGATACAGGCCTAAATCTAACAAGCGTTTAACGAAGGCCGCAAGGAGGCTATAAGAGCTAAGAACAAAAGCAGAGATAAGGGTGTAGAAGCTAGTAGAGCACTACCTCTAATAGCCTTAGAATAGCGCTATACTATCGATACGAATAGTATCCCTAAATTGTTCCTTACCGACGAATAGCGACGTCGAAGGAGGATTGCTAAGTCTGCTAAACACTTTAACGACGAGGTTACCGCGAATAATAACGCTACTACTAATGCCAATACTAATGCTAGGAATAATAGGAATAACAATACCTCCGCTAGCACTAACAACGACAATACTAGATACGATAAGCTAGAGGTATTAGTAGGAAAACTAGTAGAGGTAATACAGTCTAACAACGCCGCCTTAGCGGCCCTACGACCGAATAATAACTATTCTAGGCTACCGGGGCAGCAGCGATATAGAAATCTTTACGCGATGTATAGCCGAACTAGCTAAGGTGCGACTAGAGCTAAGTAGCTAGCTAATTAGAATCGGAATGCTCGAGCTAGTATCGTACTAGAGATTAGCTCGGAACGCTACGCCTATAGAGGCCTTAGCGCTAAAGGCAATCCTAGGCCTGCCTAAGATAGGGCCGGCTTTATAGACCCGAGGTTCGAGCCCGCCGACGTATATGCTCTACAATACGCTAGTCCTCCTTACACTCTAGTTACGGACTTTAGTTAGGAGGTCGCGCCCTATAAGTTTAAGCCTAAGCAAGTTAGGTATTTCAATAAGGACCTTCCGGAGAGTAAGGGCAAAGGCCTAGTTGTATATATTAGCAATACGGCCTATTATCGAGACGTTTTTGCTTTTATTACTCGCCTCGATATAGCTATTTAAGTAGGCGAGTATCTAGTAGCAACCCTACGTCTATTACTATATAGATGCCTTTAGGGCTCCGCCTTAGCTTAGTACCTTTACGGCCTTACTAACGATCGACGTACGCTCCTTTAAACTAGCCCGGGCATCGAGCGATAGAAGGAGGCCTTACGCGAGCAGTTCCGATTAGACCCCTTAGTCGCGGCGCGCGAATTAGAATCGGAACAATATCGTATTAAGGAAGTCGCGGCCCGAAAGAGCGTAAGCGAATTCGTTATTAACGTTATGCGTTTAGCGTAGCAAAGCGGTACGGAGTCTCTTATAGGGCAAATTAACTATACCTTCCGGAAGATCGTACTAGAGCTATATAGCGATCTTAATACGCCTACGCTATTATAGATATATTAGACGCTTATCGATACAATATAAGCCTATTATACGATATAGGTAGAGTTATATCCTCTAGGCAGTACTACTACCGGCTACTATAATAGTAAGTTAAACCTTCGACGTAGCGATTCGGTATAGGGTAGGTTCGTAGACCCTAGGTTCGCGTCTAGGTCTCGTTTTAATACTAGACGCTCGTCTTTTCTTAGAAACAACAATCCCTA